TCATTCGGCCAAAATCTAAATGCAAGGAATAAAGGATTCTTTGATATTTAATTATTGGTTCTTTGATGATTGAATGTTGGTGATGTTATTTGATGCCACTAGTATGTATTGTTCAATGCTACACGGATAAATATTATGTGTTCCATTGGTAGGTGAATTCAGCTTATATGGTTAATTGAAGTTCATGGGTTATGTATTATGTTATTTGATTGCATTCACACTACGAAATATTTTCATCATGTTTTATGCATTCAAAGAGAAAGAAATGTGCATGTTTTTCATGAAAATGAGTATTGATAAAAAGCTTGGCAATGACTCTATTAATACCATATGGCTATTAGTGGGGGAATTGGTAATAACCTCACTAATACTATATGTTCACAAGCTTATCATAGGATTATTACGAGCTTACAAAAAGAATGATCACCCTTTTAAGAGGATCATGGTTCATGAATGTATTAGTAGAGGAATTGATCATGGCTCTACCAATATCGGACGATCTTCAAATGATTTTCCACAAATATAGTTTTTATGGATGGCTAAATATATACACATTCGGCGAGATACGTCTAATCGCAAAAATTGTTTTTCCAAAGTCACGAAAAATGTATTTTTTTGCATCATGCATGCATGATTACACCTACCGAGCATTAGCTTATTAGTTATCTTACGATGTAGGTGAATTAATGAGGTATGAAGATTTGATGTGAAGTTGATGATGATGCATGAGTCGAGGTTGTCGAATGTGTACTAGAACCATATGTTAAAATGTTATAGGTTTAGATATTTTCTATCTTTAATGTTTTGGTACTATATGTTAATTTAGTTTATTAATAAATAAATGAATGATTTTGAGATGTTTATAAATTAGTTTAATGGTTTGGCGAGGTTTAATTAAATGGTTAAGTAAAATAACTTAATTAAGATGGTTCCTAATAATTTAATAAAATAGTTAAACGAGAAATGATCGATGAAGTTCAATAAAATGGTTTTCTAGTTATAATGTTTAAAATGGTTTCAATGACCATAAATGATACTTGATTTAAATTGATTTTCATATTAAGAATAATAAATGTTGTTTATTGAATTGTTTTTGTTTTCAAATAAAATAGTATTCCATTGCATAATATTTTTCAAATAAATTTATAATTGAAGTGAAGGATATGAGACTTAGTGTCTCACATTCATTGTGCTTTGAGTGTGAGACATTATCGGCAATATTTTCGGATTCAATTAGTTCCGGAGTGTTATACTATGCATGTTCTCTGATTTAGACAGAAAAATAATGAATTTAATTTTAATTAATGGAAAAACTAATCTAAAAATATTTTTATTGTATGTAAATATTAAAAAAAAAGGGATTTTTTTGGCAGCTTGTAATGATACAGTTTAATAATGAGAAGATTTGGACCCAAGCATCATGCATGTACTTCCGAACGAAACTCTGGCCCTCTTTGTCATCATGTGGATAGAAAATCAGTGAGAATATGAGAATATTGATTACTTGGTAAAAATTATATATATTAATTAATTAACAAAATTTTGTAAAGGAGAAAACAAGGGGACAAAGAGAGAAAGGGTGCAGAAAAAGAAGAAAACGAAAAAAAAAAACTTTTTATCTTTAGATAAATAGAGGGCAAAACAACTTCTTAAGAATATGCCAAGACAAGATTTGGTTGCTAAAAATTGTTGGTAGATCCAAGGTGTTGACTTGGACTGATGGGTATTAATTTATTTGTGGAATCGTATAGGCGTAAATTATAAATTAGACCTTTTATTTTTGAGAAGTAAATTAATTAGTATTGATTATGTCCTAATTTAATATTATTATATTTAATAAAATGTCATTTTTTTTCTCATTATTTTTTTTTTACTTTTTTATTTCTCAAAACAAAAAATCAAATAATCAGGTTATTTTTTTTAAATATAAAAACTAAATAATTTTAAAACAAGAAAAACTAATTAATTTATTCTCAAACCCAGATGGATTGATTTGCAATTTACTCAATCGTATATATATATATATATATATGCGTTTGTCTCTTTTAATATACCTTCAACAACCATATGTTTAACTTGTTCTGTGCTTTTCTTTATTTAGTTTTATGGAGTAGTTCTTTGTTGGACTTTACCATTCTCTGGAAGACGCATTCATATTATCGATAGAGACAGGATAAGGTTGACCGGGTATCTTGCAGTCAGCTTCAAGCGCACATGGTGGTAGAGCCGGGCGTTGGAAGCAGCCGTCTCTCTCTCCATATATATTTCCAGGATTATATAATATGGGTTAAAGGGTTTTTTTATTAACAGTAATAGCCTCGTCGGATCCGGTTTATAAGTTAACACTTATTTATCATCATCGAATTATTACCTTATAGTTAAAATTGATCTATTTTTTTCTTTTGTCTTAATAGTATCCTTCGTTACTTTTTTTTTTTGCCTGTTTTAAGTTCAGTTAAGTTTTTAATTTTACTTTTAGTTTCATATGATTGTACCACATGTTATTATTATTTTTTTTTTTTGTATCCCTCTAATTTTTTATTAAAAATAAAAAAAATTGGAAAAAAAAGTCAAGATAAAAATATTTTTGGATAAAATATTAAAAAGATTCTTTTATGGGTTTAAATTTATCTATATCATAGTAATCAAATATTGAATATAAAATAAAATATTTATAGGATTTTTTTAATATCAAGAGAGTTTTAGATAATTTTTACACTTTTGAATGATATTTATAGTCTTTTGATTACTTTTACGACTAAACTAATACTAAAACACCTAATTTTTTGTCTTGACTATTAGGTTGTTTTTCAGATGAATAATTACAGCTAGTTATGTGTGAATCATGAGAATTGAATTTTGATTTTAATCAAATCAAAACAATTTTTTCATCCTAAACCATGAGATTTTGCTGGAAAAATCTTTGCTAGCATTGCTTATAATAGTAATTTTTAACTTATATATTCCTCATCTAACTGGTTTGTCCTTGTAGACCAGATTGTTGGAGCATATACAGATCTTTCCCTCGTTACAAGGAGACAAAAGTCATATAAAAGGGGATCTAGCTAGTTTGAAACTTGCAGGATACCTCCTCTGTCATTTCTCACGCCTTCAAGCTGATGTGAAAATTTAGAACCACAAATTCTGTACTTGAGCTTACTGCTATTTTCTAAGCTCGCACTTTGAAATGCTCTTCCACTATGCCATGGATCCAACAGAACAATTGTTAATATTTTGCTGCTCAGTTTCTGCTTCTCAGTCTGTAAAGTTTTTCCTTTAGTAATTCTTGTAATGATACTCACAATCCAGCTCTTTTTTCATTAAAAAAAAAAAAAAAAATTCTCCACAATTGAAGCATGGAAATGCCAAGAATAACTTCTTCTATAAGCAGTAACTCTATCATTTCCTATATAAAAACATCATCCATATAAGCAACATAAACTACTTTAATAACTACTACATGCTATTGCAATCATAGTTTTAAATAACGATTGCGATTAAAAAAATAATCGTGATTGCGAGATAGTGGCTCATCGCAGTCGTAAAATAACGATTGCGACTACCGATGTCGTGAATATATTAGCGACTTTTAATAAAGTTATTCTAATTTATATATTTTTAATAGTTTCATTAATTAAGTATACTAATAGGTAATAACATCTCTAATAGTTTAATATCATATAATAATAGTTAAATTTATTACAAAAAATAGTTAATAACACTTCGATAGATAAATATCACAAAAAAAAAAAAACATTACAATTAATAAACACATTACAAAATATTCATCTTTAAAATAATCATAATAAAAAAATTATAATAATAGTTATTATTCTGTTATTGATTTTGTGATTCTTGTCTATCAAAGTTACAACAATAACTAGTTTTGAAAAGCAAATTACAAAATAATATAAAATTAAAAAAAAAATAAGTTTTTAAAACAATAAAGATCACCTCATTTATTTTCTCAAACTAAAAGGACTAATTTATAATTTATTTAATTAAAGCAATATTTACTTTCCAACATTTAAATATGTACATGCAAGAGAACCAAAGTAGAATAATGAAAGGTTAAATCATACATTAATCCTTCTAATTTTGATAAATGAATAAATTAGCTTTTAATATTTTAAAAACTAATTATTTAATCTTTTAACGAGTATTGATCTTAATTAAAGTTTAATATTTTATTCTATAAAATATTTTTTCATCAATCTTTTTTATGTTTTAAATTTATTTTTTCATTTTTCTATTTTTTAATATAAAAATAAAAATAAATTAAAAATATAAAATGAACAAAATAAATAAATTATTGATTTTTGAAATAAAAGGATTAACTAAATTATTGTTTCAAAATAAGAGGACTAATTTATAATTTGTTCAATCAAAACCTGCAAAAGCAGGTTTTTGATATTAAATTGCACGTGGGTTTGCGCCCTTTCAAAATAAAAGTACTTTTTTTCAAGTTCTTCTCTTTCTCTACCGGTTATCACCACCCAAAGCTTCTCACTGCCTCTCGTCTCAGTCAATTTACCTCTCTGCTTGCTTCTCATCTCTCCCTCTCTGCCCCTCGTCATTGCTTGAATTTCAGTAGCTAAAATGGCTGAAAATTTCAGCTGAAATTCTGGCTTTTTTTTTTTTTTCCATAATGCCATTATATAACGGTAATGCCGTTATTTATCATTATATGTGTGAAACGACATCGAGGCACTTGTAACACCAAAAAACAATAACGGAATATCCTGTTACCGTTATATAACGGCCGTTACACTACGTAATGGCGGTTTTTTAAAACTATCACTGCAAAATTATGCTGCCATCGGGAGGTGCCGATATTATTGGATTGTCATTTTATTGCAATAAAACAGCAATGCCAAGATGGTATTCAGTTTCTCCAATAGCATGATCCATAAACAGATCCAGATGTATTTTAATATAAATTCAAAGCAAATAAACATAGTAAAAGTAATTTATATCATTCGAAAGAGCAGCAATTTCCCTTATAAGGCAGATGAGGGGGATTTAGCATTGCCATCACCATTTGAGTGCTTCTTAAAAATGCAATCCAGCTCCTTTGCAAATCTTTCCATAGCTGGAGTAGGTAAGCAAAGAGTCACAAGAATACCATTTTCTCCTTTCTTATTCCTATATGATATCTGAAAGCTTGCCACATTACCCTTGGCAGGCCCACCATACATTGCCTTCCCCCAACCTAAGTCCCTCTCTGCAAACCTTGAACGTGTCACATCTGACACGAGGTAAGACCGCACCATTGTATACCAAGGCCTACCCTTAATCACCATTAGATCAGCCACCGATCGCATGTACTCTTCAGTCACATTTGCCTTGGCCTTCCTGACTAATTCCAATGTAAAGCCTAAAGAATTTTGAGAAATTTCTCCTGCCGTTGCCATTGCCACTGAGTATGCTGAGCAATTGCCATAATAACCTCTAGGCAACGGAGGGTTGAATCTGTTGGAAGCATTAACAATGCATATTATCCGCATTTCGTCGTTCGGGTTTGGTTGAAGCGCAATAGTTCGACACCTCCACAAAAATGCCGTCAAAACTTCAAAGGTAGAGCAATGGCGAAGGTGGAATGGAGCAAAGCTACGAATAGCAGATATGCTAGCAGGTCCGAAAAAGAATGAAGTATGGGTCCTGTTAGTACGCGGAACTTCATCATTGGTGTCAACCAGTCTATCAAACTCGTGGAGTGAGCAGGTTACGTGAGGCGGGTTCCGTGCATTTAGTATGTGCCTTTCCCACACTGGTCGGATGGAGGGAGTATGTGCTCCATGTGCTATCTCACACATAGCTGATAGGAATTGGTTTAGGCCAGCGGCATCGGTGATTGTATGGTTTAGACGGATGGCAAAGACAATTCCACCACACTTGAGACGCGTTACCTGTCATTTTTCATGACAAACCAACTGTTAGTTTAATCATCTCTGTTAATACAACTTTACAGTTATCTTAACATGCAACCCCATGTGTTGCATCAATTTAGATAGAAGTAAATAGGTCTAACCACCCTTGAACTTTAACTCATTTGAGATTGAGTTCCTAAACTTCAAAATTAGTTTTGAGGATGTGTGACCTTTAGATTTTTTGAGATCTAGTTCATAGATAACGGAAAACCCAAAAAAAGAGAGAAAAAAAAAATTATGATTAAAATCCTCATATTAAAAAATATCTCTCTCCCAAAGTCATGGCTTTCCCCTTATCTTCTTCCTCTTTCATCATTTCTCACAAGAAGCTCTCCTTTAATATCTCCATCTCTCAGAAATAAAAACCATTTCCTCTCTGCACATTTTGCATTTTGACTTAGAGGAGTCCGTAGCCCAGTCACAGCAAGACCTCCAGTCCATGCCAGCAACTCTACAACAAGTTATGCCAAGGTTTGGTATTATGATTTTCAAATTTCCTCTTCAATTTATACTTCAAAATTTTTGTGATTGTACGAGATGAAAATGAAGGATATTCAGTGCTGATGGCGCAATGTACTATTCAAGGAAATGATATTTTCATAAAATAGGACTTAAGGTCTACTGAGTTTTTAGTTATTTGGACTTGGGCTTCTTCTTCTTCTTTTGTTTTTTTCCCCCCTCCAGCTTCACTTTTGGAATTTCAGCCGCTCGTCAATTAGAATGTTATTAAAGATTTTGAAATAGACCAATGGTGTTGATGAATTGATATTGCTGCTCTTCTGGTGACAAAATTAATTAGTAATCTAGGAATAATTGCAATTTTATTTTAGAACTGCAAAATTAATTTTGTTTTTCCAAGTATTTTATAAGAAAAGAGAGAGAGAGAGAGACTTCGACTGCTGAATACTAGGAATTTTAATTCTGGAATTTTTTTTCTGGGTTTTCTGTTATTTTAAAAAGAAAACTAACGGATGTACTAGATCTCAAAAAGTTTAAAGTTCAGGAATCTTCAAAACCAAGTTTGAAGTTCAGAGACTCAACCTCAAAATGAGTTAAAGTTCAAGAATGATTAGACACATTTAGCCTTTAGATAGTCTACGTGCAATAATCACTTCTTATCACAACAAATAACATTTCTATTTCAATCTTATATCAATCATCCAACTACAGTAGCTAGCTTCTATTTCTTAAAAACTAATCAGACTCTTTGTTGTTCATCTAATCAGAGAGATTTTATTTGTGCATTGCTGAGTGTCTAAGCTTATGTTGGAGCACTAGTATGAATATGACAAAAAACAAGTTGCATATTAAATTTGACTTCAGAATGCTGTATAGGAGCTTCTTCAACTAAACTGCTTCCAAGCAACGATGCTTTGCAGTGGCAGAATGAAAGAAAAGTGGATAAATAGTTGAGCCAATCAAAACATATTTTTGAACAGTATTATCTCCAAGTTTGGCTGTCTATCTAAAACTAAAATGAACAAATAACCTGGATACATGAAATTCTAATTTGTATAGAATCAATCAAATATCAAATCAATAACATCAACGACGAGAGTAATTTTACAGCAACAATTTCTCTTCTTGTATCTGTTTTTCTTTTATCATCCCTAATGCTATGTAGTTCATTAGTTCAATATCCTAAGCATCAAGTAGCTACTCCAAGGAATTGCATTACTGGGTTGTAGCAAAAACCAACTGGTATCGCACTACTGCTACACTGTCTGCTCCCAAGCTCATCACTCAGCATTCATATCTTTTCATGTGTGTGTGCATGTGCAAGGGCTTATGCGTGTGTCGGTACATGGGTGAGGACGTGGGAGGGGGTGGATCACCTTGTCATCAATGAGAATTTGTGCACATCGAGAAGGAATCAAATCCGCGCAGCAGTTATCTTCCAAGGACTTGAGTGAAGTTTAGTAAGTTCCAGTAGAAGTTTTTCATCTAAAACTTCAGGGTTAGAGCAAGAACTATGAAATAACTTGTAGCAGCTTCCAGACATGTGGGATTGTTTATTCCTAAAACCAGACAGTAGGTTGTAGTCTAGTCTGTGTTTGGCCATTTTCTTTCCTGTCCTGGAATCAAAAGTATTGCAATGGATACAAGAGTTTTTATGCATTGTGATTCTTACTGCCAATGGTCTTTCTTTCTTTGTGCTCTAATTTGCCAAAATCCTCTTAAAGCCATGGAGATCACTAATCCCCTTGAATTCATTTGAATCAAACATATTTTTGAATCAATCCTCATTATATCATTGATGAACAGATTTTTATGAATTTTGAAGAAAAAAGTTTCTCTTCTGTCAGTGTGTTTGTTTGCTTAGATGAAAAAAAATTCTCTTCTGTCGATGCATTTCTTTGCTAAGATTAAAAATATTGTACAAGCTTAAATCAAGTGCTATTGTTTCTCATCACACAAATGGTGATTATAAAACAAACTCTTTTCCAAATGTTCTATAGCTAGCCTGCCATTCAAGGATGTGCAGACCTCCCCTTCCCTACACATTCTATTGGAAATATATAATGCATGCATGTAAGCTTCACTTAAAAAAACCCAAGTCAAAAGATGATGTTACAAGGTCCAACTTCACCAGGAATGAAACCTCTGATCTCTCTAAATCTGTTTCAATGGCTAAGCTTTACCAAGTAAACCTTATAGCATCGAAAAACCATATGTTTCTATTGTCCAATAAATGGCACCATGAATCATTTGAGGCACCCCATACAATGTATTAATCAAAACTATGAGAACTGCCGGTGCTAATTACCCTACTGCAAAAACAACCAAAACATCTAATTGCTACTTGACTACGCATCACAAACTAATTTAAAGCATTTAGACTCCAAAATTGAAGGTTCCAATTTTGTACCAATTGAAAAAATTAACTCACTTCGGTTGGCTGGCATTACTAGAACAGACATTTTGGAGTCTTCTATGTGATATAACTAATTATTCTCTTCTTTCAAATGTTCCTCTTTTAAATAGAAGTGCTGATTAGGTTTCTTTGTCTTGTTTCCTTTTCCTCCTAAATGACACCTCCTTTCGGTGCCTTTGTTGGTACAAAACATCATTTTACCTTGTACAAATACAAAAAATAAAACCCACTTTTTACCTATGAAAACAGTAAAATCAAACAAGCTACCATGTCTTTGATTATCCTTGTGCAGAAATATAAGGATAAAATAATAAAGAAGCGATGATCCCAAAGTTATAAGCAACATAGAGGGAGTGGAAGATTATGAATACCTGAATAAGCAACAAAGGGCAGTTTATGATCCCAGCGGAGCCAGGGACGTCAAAGAGGAGTTCTTCCAAGCAAGGAATTGGAGGATGAAGTGCATCACCAAACTGCTCAAGTGTAACATCAGCATCAGCCTCGATAAACAAGATACCTTCAGCTGTACATTCCACTGTGAGCTTGCGGTTTGGCCCTTCTCTAAGCCTACCAGCAAATGGATAGTAGAACACTAGTGTTTTAGCAAGTGCTTCTTTAATGACCTTAACAGGATCCCTCGTTTGCATTGAAGGATGGTAAGGGTAAAAAAGAATGACTGGAATCTGGACTCTAAAACCATCTTGGTCATCTATGTCTGAAAGTGGTTTGAATTCATGTGGGGTTGGGTCGATTGGGGTGACCAGCTCTGGTTCACATCTAGACACCTTGAACACCAGTGGGTTGGGTGGTGCTGCCATGCCAGAAAATCAGAGAGGAATATTTCCTTTATTTATTTATTTATTATTATTATTTTGTGTTGAACTTGAGCTCTTGTACCCAAAAAAAAAAAAAAAAAAAAAAAAAAAAAAAAAAACTACTCTAAGTATTAGGAATGGTTTAATAGCATTTTTTTTACCCTTAAAATATTTGAGTTATGGTATATTGAGATTCCTAGTATTAATTTTGGTAATTTTATCCTTTAACTATCTCATTTTAGATAAATACTAGAAAAAATTACAAAATAAGGAATAAAATATAAAATTATTAAAACACAAAAGAGGGCTTAAAGCAGAGAGAGAGAGAGAGAGAGAGCTTGACTACATCAACCAAACCACAAAAAAAAAAAAAATTAATAACCAAAATAAAAATAAAATTAACTAAAAACCAAATGAGAGACTTAAAAATGCAGCAAGAGAGAAAAAATTAATTTATTATAGAGATAAAAATTAAATATAATAAAATTTTAATAATTAAAATTAGAAAAGGTTATAACATGGAGGGGTTGGGTTGGGTTGGGTTGGCTCAAAGCTCGGCAAAAAAAAAAAAAAAAAAAAACCCACTTGTGAATAGTAAATGAACAGTTTAAAAATAATAATCTATTATTAAAAAGACCACTTCTTTTAGCTTATTAGTAATTTTCACTTCATTTGATTTGATAATTATTATTGAGCAAAAACCTCTTTAAAATAAAAAAAATTAATTTTTTATATTTTGCATTGAATTTTTTCATAGATAAATTATAAATTAGTCTCTTTCGTTCCATTTTAATTTTGTCAATAGCTCGGTTTTTTCATTAATTTTTTTATTAGATTAATGAATTTTTTTTTCAAATTGCGCTTCCTTTCGTGATTTATTTCTCTCTCGCTTTTTTTTTTTTCTCTTCTTAACCAAAATTCAAAAGAATGACAATTTAAAAGCAAAAACTACTAATTTAGCGAAAAACTAACCGAAAGATTAAGTATTAATAAAATTAAAACATAAAAGACTAAATTATTTGTTTTTTTTAAAAGGAAACTAATTCATTAGTTTTTTAAACAAGAGAGACTAATTTATAATCTGCTCAATTTTTTACATATAATAATAAAAAATCAACGACTTTCAAAAATAATTTCAAAAAATTTTTAAATAGGAAGATTTTTTATTTTTTCTTAAACATTAACTATTTATAAAATTCTAAAAATAATATTTAATTATCTGAATCTTTCGTGCACATCTTGAAAAACTCATATACATTTATCTATTTAGTCTTAATATGATTTTCAAATTATTTGCATAGTCGAATACGTAACACCAAATAAAAGCTTAAAACAAGTTAAAAGTATAATATTGTGTTGAAAATTTGTAAAATACTTAAAAATTAACTACTAATACTTATTTTATGAGTGAACTTTGAGATGAGAGACAAATAAAAAACAAGAGATAAATCACATTAGAACTTATAAAAAATAATAAAAATATTTTCACTTTCGACTTTTTTTTTTTTTTTTGTCTATATCTCACTTATAAATTAAATATTAAGTACTATAAAATTTTTCATCTTTTGCTTTATTTTAAAACCACAACAATTTTTTTAAAGCAGACACTAACTTTAGTTTCAAAGCAAAAGAAAATTTAAATAGGTAATGTTTTTAAATCAAAAGTATGAAAACTTGAGTGATTGTATTTTATTTTATTATAGTGAATTATTTCAAAATTGATTTTTTAGTTTTTCTATGATAAAAAGAATTTTTTAAACATAGATTTATTATTTTTATAGTTTTTGTAGTCTTATAATCTTATAATTGATTTATTTCATATTCTTATACTTGTGTATGTTTAATTTAACTATTTATTTACAAAATCTAATTTCCATAAAATAGGTTAAAATCTTGACACAAACAGCCCACCCAGCACTTCCATGCTAGATCGAAAGGATCCCACGAATATATTATAAATATAAACAATTAGAGGATGTAAATGACAATGACTAGATTGAAAGGATCGAATTAATTTATAGCACGTTTGAAGTTAATCGAACTACGAATAAATCTGACGTGCCAAGAAAATTGCATAGAAATAGAATGGAAACATTCATTGTAATTTGCAAAAGTAAATTATAAATTAGTCTCTCCAGTTTTGATAAATAAATAATTTTTTATTTTAAAAATTAATTATTTAATTTTTTACCTAACGTTTATCATGTTTAATTTAAAATCATTTTATTTAAAAAATATATTTTTTTCATCAATTTGTTCATAACATCTATTTATTTTTTTATTTTTAAAACAAAATAAATTAGAAAATGATATAAAATGAATAAAAATGGCTATATAATTAGTTCAAAACTACGGGGTTTAATTTATAATTTACTCCAATTTGCAAGCAAGCCGAGAGAAGAAGAAATAAGTAATAAAAAAAAAAGCCCCAAAGAGTAAGAGTAAATTACAAATTAGTACTTCTAGTTTTGAGAAATGAATTTATTAGTCTTATTTGTTTTAAAAAATAATTATTTAATCATTTAACCAATGTTGTTTACTTAATTTAATAGTATTTTCTTTCAAAAAATATCTTCTTTTTTTTCCTCATAAATCATTCTATATTTTTTACTTTTTTATTATTTTTTTAAAAAGGTCAAAATAAATTAAAAAAATAAAAAAATTAAACTACAAGAAAATTTAAAAATATTAGACTAAATAATTAGTTTTTGAAATAAATATGATTGATTAATTCATTTCTCTAAACTAAAAGTACTAATTTACAATTTACTCCAAAGAGTAATAATAATATAACATACTTGTACTAAATAAATAAAGAAGAAAGTAAACTCAGGTCTAAACTAAAAGTACTAATTTACAATTTACTCCTAAGAGTAATAATAATATAATATACTTGTACTAAATAAATAAAGAAGAAAGTAAATTCAGGTTTTGGCTGAGTAAATTATAAATTAATCTTTTTTATTTTGAAAAATAAATAAATTAGTATTGTTTTTTTTTAAAAGCTAAATATTTAATTTGTTTTTATATTTCAATTTCATCAATTATTTATTTTTTTCATTTGTTTGTTTTTGCTAAATTAGTGGGTGGTTTTTTTTCTCAAATTCCTCTTCTTATGATGTTTTATTCCTCTTTTTATTTTTTTCTTAACTACAATCAAACAAAGAATAATTTGAAAATAAAAATCAGTAATTTAATAAAAAAACTGATAAAAAGATAAAGTTATTGGTGAAATTAAAATATAAAAAACTAAATGATTGATTTTTGAAAAGAGAAGAATTAATTAATTCGTTTCTGTAAACGATAAGGACTAGTTTATAATTTACTCCGTTTTTGTTCCATAAACAAACAAAAATCTAAAAAAACAGCAGCTCTCTCGTCATTTTTTGAGCAACAAAGCAAACACCAAGGAACGATATTATTTCTTTCTTTGTTTCTCTCTATTACTCCATAAAAACAAACAAACAAAAGAATTTCACTCTCTAAAACTCTTTCTCTGTCAGCCGCAATCCTGTCTCTATACATCAATTAATCCCTTTTGTTCTTACTATTAAATAATAGAAAATATACACTAACTTATCTTCATATTTATTTTGGGTTTTTTTTTTTTAATCTGCTCAGCTTTTTAGTTTTGCTTTTTACTTTTTTTTTTTTTTGGTTCTTTTGTTTCTTACAATCTTTGCATGTTTTCACCAAATATATATTTACCAAGAATCGATAGTAGTAATAGCAATAATCTCTTGTAATCCAATCAAATATAACATCTTGATCTCTTCAATGGATCATGTAAATTTGCAGTCTCTTGATTCTTGACTTTCTTTTGGAGTGAATGAGAGATAATGGGATTACAATCTGCTGGTGGGTTCTTGGATTTCTCAACTAAACAGGCTCAAATGGGATGGTTTGATTGCTGATCATCTATCAATTTCCGGTTGCTTTTGTTTTGTTGTATCAATGGAGAAATTGGGTATACAAGTTTGATTGTTGTGGGTGTTTTAGTTATTGTTGTGGAGTCAATGGACGAGGTTGGTCCAAATGAAACCCAGGAATTGGATGGGCCATCAGTTCCATGGCGGCCGAGGCAGCTTGCATTTGGACAGTACAGGCAGGAGAGTGAACCTGCCAACAAGGAGCAAACTTTGCGTGTTGTTGTAAGAAGACCTGTAAGTGTTTTGTTCCTTTACTTTTGTCTCTCTCTGTTTTTTTTTTTTTTGGTTGATTGGATTGATTTTGTTGTTGATTTATCTGGGTTTGAGTTTGCATGTTGAATTATGAGGATTTTGGGTTTGATACAAATTGTTGAAGTAAAAAGTTTAGCATTTGAAAATTAAGTGGTTTAGATTGAGTGATAGCTGGAATGCACTAGCCTACATGTATAGAATTGAGATTTTTCTAACTGCTATCGCTTTTGCATTTCAAAGTATGAAACAAAAACAGAATCCTATGAAGGTGTAATAGTAGCTGTGTATGGAATCTATTTTGTGTTGTCTTGGAGATTATTAATTGAAAGGCAGATGTTTCTTTTGCTAATTTATGGGAAAATTGGACAAGAAAGAAAGTTCTATACACAACTGCAAGAATATCTTCCTTGGAATGCTTATGGTTGGAAGTGTGTAGGCTTTTTGCGGTTCTGATATCATATGACATTCCAGAAATATCTAAAGCATTATTCTGTTTACATAGTAGTATTTTCCTTTGTAAAGTATAACACAATGTTATAATCCCCAAAGAGGAGCTATAAAGAAAATTTTCTGGACCTTGAACTGCGAAAGCTTATGAGTTGCAAGCATTTCTGGATTAAAAATGGAAAGGGTACTCTGGGGATTGACGGTTCCATTGCAGATGTTAGAGCCTAGAGGATCCTTATCCTGACTTTTGAGGGGACAGGAGAAATCCTTTCTTTTGACTTTGTCTAGCACACTTATCCTAAAAGCATTCCATTGTGAAATTTGCTGGTGTTACCAGATTGGAGTATCTCTTGCAACACTTTTAACTTTAACAATGTAAAACCGTATGATCATGTCAATACATATCCTATCATGTTCTTAGTTCTTGTGAGGACAGGGAGACTCTGATCGACCCATATTTTTTTATTACAAGACAGAAGATTAACGATGATGATTAGAGATGGGTCAAAGGGTTGTATGCCTTTTGAGTTCTTATGTTGGAACTCTTGGAGCTATATAGTTCACATGTCTCATACTTAGTGATATTTTCAAGATACTAAAGTTGAGCAACTTAGATTTCCATGCTTCATGACTTGGTCGGTTTTAAGTGACATTTAGGGAAATGAAAGAAAGAGGTGAAAAAGTTTATTTATTATTACAAGTAGTTCAATTCATGCTTTGTTGAAGTGACTTATTTGGGTCAAAACATTTGATAACGGGCTACTTACAACTTTCTACAAATGTTAAGAAGCAGTATCCTATACTCCTAATTGGCTTCTGTTTTAGTGCAGAAGCCATAAGCAAAGCAGATAGATTGGGAAAATTCAATCTCTTCGAAGAAAATAATATTTGGGAAAATAATTTCAGTATATTAATTACACAACTACAGATATATATATATATATATAGTCCTAAGATAGGAAAGAATTCCTAAAGAATAGGAAAATAGAATAGGATCCCTACAGAGTAGGAAAGAATATACAAAATATTTCTTATCTAATTATATCCCGATATTTCCTACACTCTCCCTCAAGCTGGTGAATATAGGTCTTCCATTCCCAGCTTGCATATATTTTCTTGAAATGCATGATCTGTTTAATCCTTTTGTTAGAACATCCGCCAACCGAAGATCCGTAGGAACATATGGAGTACAAATTAAGCCACTGTCAAGATTTTCCTTAATAAAATGTTTGTCCACCTCTACGTGTTTAGTTCGGTCATGCTGCACTCGGATTGTGCGCTATACTGATGGTAGATTTATTATCACAGTAGAGCTTCATTGGACCACACCATTCAACTTTCATATCTTCCAAGATGATTTTCACCCACAATAGTTCACATATACCTGCTGCCATTGGTCTAAATTCAACCTCTGCACTTGATCGTGCAACCACATCCCGTTGTTTACTCCTCCAAGATATCAAGTTTCCTCCAACAAAAGTACAGTATCCCGTAATCGATCTTTTGTCAACTCGGAGAACTTGCAAAGTCAGCATCTGTGTAAACTGCTAGATCAATATTCTATTTTTTCTTAAATAGAATTCCTTTGCTCGGGTGAGCTTTCAAATAATGAAGAACTCGTAAACAGCTTGTAGATGAATTTCTCTTGGATCATGCATAAACCGACTAATAACACTCACGGAATAAGCTATGTCCGGTCTAGTATGAGCAAGATAGATGAGTTTTCCTACGAGACGTTGATACCTTTCCTTCTCCACCTTCTTATCACCTAAAGCTTCTCCTAATCGATGATTTTGTTCGATTGGAGTTGCTGCAGGTTTGCTTGCTGTCATCCCGGTTTCCATGAGTAAATCAGTAACATATTTTTGCTGTGAGATGTATATTCCTTGCTTAGATCGAGCCACCTCTATGCCAAGAAAATATTTCAATCTCCCAAGGTCTTTAATTTCAAACTCTTGGTTCAAACGCTGCTTCAACACTCCTTTCTCTGTTTCATCGTTCCCGGTTACAATGATATCATCAACGTAGACAATCGAACCGTGAACCCCTTGAAGCGAGTGTGTTTGATAAATAAAGTGTGGTCTCCTTGGCTTTGTTTATATCCATTCGCAAGCATCACATGAGTAAACCGACCAAACCAAGCACGGGGTGATTGTTTGAGGCCATACAATGCCTTCTTGAGTTTACAAACTTGATTCCCATCACCGCCACCGAAACCGAGTGGAATGCTCATGTAAATATCTTCCTCCAAGTTACCATGTAAAAATGCATTCTTCACATCATATTGCTGTAACTCCCAATCAAAGTGGACTACCAATGACAACAAAATTCGCACTCGTATTCATCTCTCGCTATCGGAGCAAACGTCTCTTGATAATCGACCTCATATGTTTGAGTATAACCCTTGGCAACCGATCCGGCCTTGTATCGTTCTAAAGACCCATCCGCCTTAAGTTTCACCTTAAACACTCACTTATAGCCAACTGTTTTCTTGCCTTGAGGCAGCGGCACCAATTCCCAAGTATCATTCTTTTCCAGTGCTTCCATCTCTGCAGTCATAGCAAGTCTCCATTCTTCTTTAGATAAAGCTTCGGACAAAGAGTTAGGAATAGCAATTGAATTTAATGTGGACAGATAGCTACGGCGATTTTGAGAAAAATTAGTGAAAGACACAAAATTGGCCGGTGGGTATAAAGGTGTTTTTGTGCGGTTGCGGGTTCCTTTCCTTAAGGCTATAGGTTTGTCAAGATCGGTCTCGGGTTGTGTAGAATCGGATGAGGGAGAAAAAATGTTAGAAATTGTTACCTCGGGTTCGAACTCGGTACAAGTGATTGATCTTGCTTGCAGAAGCGGGAATGGCGTCCTTTTTCCTTGTATACACCTTATCAAACCGAAACCGATCAATCAATCTACCACTCGTCCTCTATTTCTTCGCGGGCAAGAGAATGGTGGATTGGTAAACATGATCATCAAGAGGTCGTTCACGAGGAGCTACATCTCTTGATGAAGAAATATCAAGAGACGGATCAATATCGGAATCGACAATTGTAGGAAGCTCCTCCGGAATGTAAGGTGTAGAAAAATATGATTTATTTTCAACAAAAGTGACATCGACTCGAGACATAGAGCTTCCGAGTAGGTGGATGATAACACTTGTATCCTTTTTGAGTGATCGAATACCCCAAAAAAATGCATTTAAGGGCTCTAGGATTTAACTTTCCCCGAGTGGTATTATGGACATGAACAAAGGATGTACACCTAAAAATACGAGGGGTAACGCTAAAGGAAGACCGAACATCGGGGAAGAACCGAGATAAAATTTCCAGTGGACTTTTGAAATCTAAGCCTTTAGAGGGCATCCTATTTATGACATAGGCCGATGTTAAAACCGCCTCTCCCCAAAACGTTTTAGGAACATTCCGTTGGAACAAAAATGCCCTAGTACATTCAAGAAGATGACGGTTTTTTTGTTCAACGACTCCGTTTTGTTGTGGAGTGATGACACAAGATGACTCGTGAATAATACCTTCTTTTTTAAAATAGAAAGACAAAGTCCGATTAAAGTAGTCACAAGTATTATCCGACCGGATACGTTTGACTCGGTACCCCAAATTGATTTTTTATCATAGAGATAAAGATGGGAACAATATGACCGACATCGGACTTTTGTTTAAGAAGATAAACCTAGGAAGTTCTAGTGCAATCATCAATAAAAGTAACAAACCGTTTTGATCCAAGTAATGTTTTGGATGGACGAAGGGCCCTTAATGTCACTATGAATTAAAGAAAAAGGAAAACTTGATTTTTTATTGCTTATTGGAAACGATACACGTGTGTGTTTGGCAAATTCACAAATGTCACACTCGAAAAACTTTAACATCGACTCCCTTAAACAAGTCTCGGGAACATTATTTTTAAGGTAAAAAACGACAAATGACCTAGACGCCTATGATGCAACCAAATGGTATCTTTATTTGATCGTGAAAAACATGAGACTGGAGAAGATAAATTAATCGGGCTTTGCTAACTTGGTGTATCGAAGTAGTAAAGGCCATTGTGCTCTTTAGCAAGACCAATCTTCTTCCCCGACTCCCGATCTTGAAATTCACAACAACCAACAAAAAAGGTAATATGACAATTCAAGTCTTGGATAAGTTTATGAACGAAATAAGATTGGTGGATAATCGAGGAACATGAAGAACATTTTTTAGCATCATGTTTTGACCAATTTGGATATCTCCAATACCGGCTACTGTGGTTGTTGTACCATCGGCTACGGTTATTTTCCGACTACTCGGGACAAGGTGTATAGGTTTTGAAAAAATTGGATGTGTGGGTCATATGGTCCGTAGCACTCGAGTCTAAAATCCATGCATTCCGAAACTCATTATCTAAAAAATTTAATCCAAAGGAGAAGGAAGTTTTACCTAAGAGCGTTAATGAACACAAACCTTGAGATTGGTTAGGAGGTGTAGCAGGTTTTTCCACGGATCCTAACAAGCTCTTGAGTTTTTCCAGATCTTCCATACTGAGTCCTTCTAATCCCTTCGGTGCGTTTTGTGTTGTCACATAGGCTTGCCTCTGTGACTGTCTTTGCTGCCCACCTCTTTGACCCCATTCTCGGTTGTGAGTTGACGGCTTGCCATATAATTTCCAGCACTCCTCCTTGGTATGCCAGGGTTTTTGGACAGAATTTACTTCCTCTAAGATGGAAGTTTCGGTTGTAGACATAGTGAAGGGACCAAAGGTTTAAAAAACTATGAAAAATTACAGCAATTAAGGCTGTGGAAAAAACTGAAGAAAACTGACAGCAATGAAGGCTGTACAGTGGCAGATTTCAGCAAAGAAACCCTAAGGCTTTGATACCATGAAGAAAATAATATTTGGGAAAATAATTTCAGTATATTAATTACACAACTAAAGATATATATATATATACATAAGAGTCCTAAGATAGGAAAGAATTCCTAAAGAATAGGAAAATAGAATAGGATCCCTATAAAGAATATACAAAATATTTCCTATCTAATTATATCTCGATATTTCCTACACTCTTCTCATTTACGTTGTCTGGACATGATTTCCTTTGTGCTTATCAACTCATTGTAAGATTTGCTTAGAGTTTTTTGCTGTCTTAGCCCAGAAGTATGAGTGGATTACAAAATTTTAAGTGTGAAAATATGTGATGGGCAGGAAATTGTACCGAACAGGAAGTGGTGTATGACCTGCACTCAGCTGGACATCAGCTTTTTGGGATTTTTCAGTTAGACGCCGAAATATAGAGAATTAGTCTTTTGCAGATGTGTATACGAGTCATCATGCTCTCTTAAAAGAAAAAAAAATTGAAATCTGTTAATGTAGACATCAAAAGGGTAGTGTTACTGCCCTTCTGTGAAATAGAAAAAGGAATACAAACTATAACTGTGCTACAGATAAGCTACTGCAAATAAATTGTTAATGAAGTTTAAGAAATGAGAGGGGAAAAAAGTGTCCCTGTAGGCCAGTGATGTATTGTCTTAACCCAAAAAGGAAAAAAAGAACCTCCAACGAGAAGAGCAAAGGTTCTTCTACTTTGAAATGCTCTTTTCTTGCATTCCCTAAGGAAAACACTGAAGATTGCTAGTGCTTTATAGCCTCAAATAATAGGGAAACCCTCTCCCAAAAATTTAACCCCTCCTGTCCTGAACTGGCCATGGCCAAGAGAAACCCACAGCTTTGTTTACCAACCTCCATGAACTCCTTGCCCATGCAAGTAAATGATTGATTAGATTCAGCAACTGTTTTGAACAAAAAACACTAATTGACTGAAATTTCTTTCATTTGAAGATCGTTGATGGTTTAAATCATTCCCCAATCTGCCTTCCATGCAAAAGAAGAAATCTAGGAGGGACGAGGGGTAGACTCTGTGTAGCTCTCTCCTGGGGAACTGAGTTTTTTGCACTTTACGCCTATTCTTTAATGGGGCCTCATAAAGAGATTAAACTGTGAGCACAACATTTTTCATTAGGTTTCTGGTTAGCCTTACCATCTTCCCCAACTTTAGTCCTCCTACTATCCAATCTACCAATCTTTGGATCTCCTATCAACAACCATGTTCCATCCATGTTCCATAACACACTCCTTTTAAGTATGCGTGTCCGAACTATCTTGATTCCCAAGAAGCATGAAAATTAGGAGATTTTGGTCTCAAGAATTAAGAGGAACTGGCATCAAATATCTCTCTGGTAAATAAATGCATTATAGTCCTTTTCTGTGTCAAAACCCATGAAGAGAAGAACTCCTAACCTATCCTCTAAATTCTTATAAACTTCTAAAGATTGGCAGCATGCGAATCCCTAGCTCCTATAGTTATCCACTCTTTTGATCCTTTGTATATATAACACCAATTATCATTGCTGATACTATTTGATTTCACAATGAACTTCAAGTATCTACCTAGCAGTAATTTGTTAAAATCCTGATTTAATCCCTAAACTGCTGTTTTTTTTTAAAAAAAATAAAAACTAAAAAAACCTAAACTTCCTACTTAACTCCTATTAAAAGCCTTGTTTTATAACATACTCCTTTATGTATGATTACCCCAACTATGTTATTTCTGTAGAAGCCTGCGAATTATAGGGATTTTGGTCTCAAGAGTTAAGAGGAGCTGATATCAATGATCTATTTTCTTCACAATAAACTGCCACAACTGTCTATCTAGCAGGACTTATGTTAAATCCTGATTTAATTCCTAAACAGCTGGTTTTGAACTGCTTACTTTGAAAGAGTATTTGCCACAATCCACTATCCAAAATTCATGATCATTCCCTACATTTCTTCATATCCTTTTGGATCGCTTGAATTCCATGCACAATAGAGCAAGTAAAGGGAAGAGTCATGTATTTAATTTAGAGGGTTATAAAGAGACTTTTATAAGGACTGGTTTATATTTTTCCATGCATGGCACATTTCATAAGAAACTCTCCCCTTGCACCGATACTCAATAAAGGGAACAGTGTCAAATTAAACTGTAAAGCTTTAAGAGTAAGCCACCAAATGTCACATCCACGGAAAGATAACGTATAACCTATATGCAAGCACATGAACATGTCTGATATTATTCAGACATCATATCAGCATTTGAAGTCTCAGTGTGAACTGGTTAAGGATGCACACTTTTTTTTTTGTTAACATTGGCTATAGGGATGCATATTATAATGCTAATGGTTAAATGACCACGTTGACTACTGCTGTCTCATCTCTCACCTTCCATCTACTGATCTTCGTGCAAGAGTCCATTTGAACTGCCATTTTATTTTCTAGCTTGGCCAAGTGAGCATCATTATTGTTTTATTGACCAAAATTTTGTTTTAAATAGCGGGTACTGTTGTTTTAAAATTATACGAGGCAGACCTTTGTGCTGACTGTAAGCTTTTATTGGTGCAGTTGGTTGCAAGGCTAACCAAAGACATAGTCGAAACGTATCAAACATGCAATCCGCAATTTAGTTATTCAGAAGAATTTAATCCAAAAAGATATTTGACCAGCCCATCAGCTGGAGTCCTCAACGATGGCCATGATAATGTGAACTCAGACCTTATTCTGACTGCAAACTTTGCTTTGGTCAATTTAGACACACAGAGAAGGTTTGTTTATGTTTGTTGTTTTGGTTCCTCTGCATTTATTTTTCTGGAACTCTTTTCTTTTTTTTTTTTTCTTGTACTTGGTTTTGAACAAACAATGTTATGCATTATGTTTTGAGTGAATTTGGTGTTTGATCAAAAAATAATACTCATATAATCTCTTATTACCTCGAGTCCTTGACTCACGTGTAATTTGCTATTTACTTGGTTTTGAACAAAAAATGTTATGCATTATGTTTTGAGTGAATTTGGTGTTTGATCAAAAAATAATACTCATATAATCTCTTATTACCTCGAGTCATTTGACTCACATGTGTAATTTGCTATTTACATGTTCGATTCCTGTTTGACATCTTTGTAAAAATAAACTGCTTTTATTCCATTTTTCAATTAGTTGGGATTTTGATTAAACAAATTCTAGTTTAAATTCCAAGTAGTTGTTCCAATTGGATATTCTCTGCAATTCCTAGATACGAAGACTCCAATTGTTTGTTCATGTATATAGCCTCTCTCTTTCTCTGAATGTGTGATGTTTCAGTTTTTCTTGATCAAAATATTCTGGCTATTTTGTGCATGCACACCTGTGTATAAAGTAACTGTTTTTCCCTTGAATTCTCAAAAAAAAAAAAAAAAAAAAGAAAAAAAGAAGGTACTCCCTGGCAATTGAATTAAATTATTCTGATGGAGAGAACCTTTCAGAGGACTGAATGTCCTAGGTGCATTTGAATTGCAATATTTACAGTTTTTTCTCTCATTATAACATTACTTTCCTACAATCATCAGGAGCCTTGTGCTGTTCATGTTTGCTTGAGACCTACAAAATAAAAAGTTTAAATTAGCAAAATTCAATTTAGAAAAGAAAATAAAAATAAAAAATAAAATAAAAAGAAGAAAGAAATATGCAGTTTGATAGAAGTTCAGAAATCTAAGTAGATCCTAAGACAATCCGGAAAAAAAATCAAATTTAGCACATCCATTAAATTCTTTGTTCGGTCTTCCTCCGATGTGAATGAATACACTCCAGTCTTTGAAAGTATGGTACATTATTTACTTTCACTGATTTCCTTTCCTTCTTTGAAGTTCCTTCCTTTCAGTAGGGAACAGGAGCAAAAGCTCACAATTTTGATGTCACGGTAGTAAATATGAGATCTATGACTCATTTATCACATCATATCTGCAGATACATAGTCAAAGATGTCCTTGGTCATGGGACTTTTGGTCAGGTTGCTAAATGCTGGGTTGCAGAAACTAACAGTTTTGTTGCTGTGAAGATTATAAAAAACCAGCCTGCTTACTATCAGCAAGCTCTGGTTGAAGTATCTATTTTGACAATGGTAATTAAAAAGCTCTTCAACTCCTTGTGCCACATGCTGTGATATTAGCAATGACATTTCTCTATGTTTGCTCCATGCTTTCCTATCACAGTTAAACAAGAAGTATGATCCTGAGGATAAGCATCACATTGTTCGTATTTATGATTACTTTGTATACCAGCGGCATTTATGCATCTGCTTTGAACTTCTTGACACAAATCTGTAAGTTAATGGCTACTTGCATAGTTACATTTAGTGAGCAGTAACATTTTGTTGCAAAAGCTATTTTTTCCTGACTTGCCTTTTCTTTAAATCCTTGGTCATGTGAATTTATTGTTTTATTTCTTTTTAGCAGCATATACTTGACTTTTAATGTTATTCAGGTATGAGCTTATCAAGATAAATCAATTTAGGGGGTTATCATTGAACATTGTCCAATTGTTCTCTAAGCAGGTGTGGCAACTTTAAAATTGCTGCCATGTTGCATTATATCTGAATTGAATTTGTTCTCATTCCTTGTTTAATTTGCTCTTAAAAAGATTTTACGTGGGTTGGCTCTATTAAAAGATGCTGGGATAATCCATTGTGATCTGAAGCCAGAAAACATTCTCTTGTGCACAAGGTAAATTATTATTCATGATGTGTTTTGCCTCAAACGTTTAACAAGTTTCATTTCTATTCAACTGACAATTTTCTATCTTGAAAAACAGTGTGAAGCCAGCAGAAATTAAAATAATTGACTTTGGATCAGCATGCATGGAAGATCGCACGGTTTACTCCTACATTCAGGTTATCTTTATTTCTACTCCATGTGTTCATTTTATTTCTATCTTGTTCATTTTATTTCTATCAACTTGCGAAGTCCTTATAATGGCATTTTTTTTTATTCTGCAGAGCCGTTACTATAGATCTCCTGAAGTTCTTCTAGGTTATCAGTATCCTTTTCAATAAAATTATAGCTTCTTGATTATAGTATATCATCTATGTACATTCATGCTTCATCCTCAAATCATGGGGGTTTTAGTTGGGACCTTAATCCATTCTAGATATTCTACAGCTATTGACATGTGGTCCTTCGGTTGCATAGTTGCAGAATTATTTCTAGGATTGCCACTTTTTCCTGGTGCTTCAGAATTTGATCTTTTAAGGAGAATGATTGAAATACTTGGGTAAGTCTCGTCTCTATCAGCAATATAGGGGTGAAACATATTTGCAAGTGTTTTAAGCGAGCTGTTTAAGAATATGAATTTGATGTCTTTTCTGTTTTGTTTGCATTTCCTTGAGATACAAAATTGCCATTAAACTAGAACAGCATGATTATTGGTAGATCTACTGGGGAACAGTCTCTATATATATATATATTTCTTCAATGTAGTAAGGGGCCATTGGTCGGTGCAATGGTAACCTTATAACCACAAGGGTGCATGTTTGGCTCTTGATAACAGCCACTTCAAGGAAAAATGAAGGGTAGGCTTCGGACCATCTTAAGTATCTCCTTTGTCACGACTCCTTTTCAGTGGGACCATATGTGGGTGACAGGTTATCGCCCTTTTTCCACCTTTTCGAGTGGGTGCACCAGTCTTTGGGTTTCATGGTTATTATCAGCATTTGTATGTAAGTGAAGAAATAGCTTTAAATAAGTATATTGATACTCTCATCATATTTTTTATTTTTAAATAAGACTCCTGAAGCTATAGTTAGAATCATTTCATGACACGAAATGTAGAACAAAAATTTTGTTGAACTTTGACTGGTAACGATGAAGCAATGGTGCATAGTCAATTGACAGAATTTGGCCTTCCTGCACCAAGTGAAGGGTCGCAAAAGCTGATGTAATCTTTACTTATGAACTTGCTTGGCTTAGGAAACAAGTCAACTGTAAAACTAATCTAACTCTTAGTTGAACTGAACTCATAAGATGCCTGTTCCCTGAGGTTGGGAAATTCTTTTCTCATTTGCTTGAAGCCTGTTCCAAATTAAATAATTTCTCCGATCAAATTGTTGCTGAATGTTAGAATTCATATTGGCAAGCTTCACTACATGTTTCCTTAATTGGGAGTCAGGTTGTTTTGTAGATATACGTGCTAATTACACCTTAATCTCTTTATTGGACAAACTTTACTTATAGATACTAGTTGATGCAGACCTAAAATGTCTATGACTATATAATGGAAGAAATGTGAAATGCTTTGCTGGACCAATCTCTACAGATACTATTGTTTCTGAAAGGCCTGTGAAGGTATATTTGTTGGAGAAGATCAATTGAAAATTAAGTTCAAGGCTCGGTGCATGAAGGCATCACAGTAGGTTTTGAAACATAATTAACTAGTTCTTCAGTTGCACAAGGCAGAACAGATGTACGACCACAGAGGGGAAATAGAATGGAGCTTCTAGAATAACCCAAAGAAAATTTCAATGATTCAGCTTAGTAGACAGTTCCCGTGGGGGAATATAAAATTCCATGAATTTCTCAATGATTCAGCATATATAAGAGGGGCCTACGCCACCCTTAACACATTTACATCTATTCCTTTTAAATATACTGGTCCTCATGTGAGCTGCCTCTTCCTGGTGAACGATGGACTTCTCCAGTCAGAAGCATTGCCTCTGAAACATAGATCCTAGCTGTCCTTTTGGTTTGCCTATGTTTACATTTTATGCATTGCTTCTTTTTTTTTTTTTTCTCTCTCTGGAGAGTTAGTGATGTTATAGTTCAATCTGCTTTCTAAGAATCCTTCCATAAAGAGAAGAAAACAAAAGAAAAGGGAATGATTTGCTATCAGTATTTGAGGGTTGTTTTGGACATTTTTCAATCTTGAGTCAGCTTTTCTCCTTCTTCCAGTGCCATGTGCCATTGATGGCTGATTTATTGGTTTGCTATGCCCTTTTTTGTATCATTTGGTTGCTTCTGTTATTACTTACTCTTTATTGTTTTAAAGTGTTTTGAGGAAACCTTTTTCGTTTTCTTTGAGAGTTCTTTAAACTCATTTATCAAAGATGGATTTGCGATTTGCAATTCGATTAAACCTTTATGAGACTTTAAAATATAGTGACATCTGTTACTATTATAAGCAAGCCTTGAGCAAGTTAACTAGTGGGCTCATGTGATTACTATAAGGTCCATTTTCATCACCAACTCAGTCAAGACAGACATGTATGGGTAAATTATTTTGAAGAAGCATATATGCACATATAAGTAATTGTAATTGCTTTTCCCCAAAGTTATAGTAAGCTAGTTTATGAAAGTTCAAAGGCATGCATGAGCAGGGGGTGCAACGAATGTGGTTGGGAATTGATCTATTTTGCATGTGATTTGTTTATGCTCAGAAGTGCACTGGAACTAGTAGGGGTGGTATTTTATACTTTGATTTGTTGTTTATTGCTTGTATTCACTATTGATTTGAAGGATAGCTTATTTCTGGTTGAAATGTTGTAGAGGACAACCTCCTGATTATGTGCTAAAAGAGGCGAAGAATGCAAATAAGTTCTTCAAGTGCATTGGGAGTGTCCAGAATCTAGAGAATGTCGAAGTTTCCTTGGGAGAAAGAAGTGCATACCAAGCATTAACTGTGGAAGAATATGAATCTGTAAGTGTTCATGTGGTAGTTTTGGTAGTAAGCAGAAAATCAATTAATAGAAGAAAAAAGTAAAGAGCTTCCTAAGTGAACAGAATTTTCTTTTATTTTTTCGCCAAGTGCTAATATCAATAGACAAGGGTATATCTTTCTTTTCTATTGCTTGCTACATTTTATTCTCTTCCTCATTGTGACGATTTTGGTTGTGTTTCCAGAGAGAGCGGAAAAAACCATCTATTGGGAAGGAGTATTTCCATCATAGGAACCTTGAGGAAATTGTTACAAACTATCCTTACAGAAAGAATTTGCCTCAGGAAGATATAAAGAAAGGTTGTTCTTATATCCAAAGAATCTGATTCTATAAAATAATTTTGCTTAATATGTTGCTATCATTTCTAGAAGCTACTGATTGCTGTTGTTAAACACATTGCAGAAAGTCAAATACGATTAGCTTTGATTGATTTCTTGAGGGGACTTGTTGAGTTCGATCCTGCAAAACGTTGGTCCCCTTTTCAGGTAATTTAAGTTTTTCCCAGTTTTTAGCAATTGCTGTCACAATTAAATTTATGTATTTGTGGCTAAATGGAGGTATAATTCATTCATGTGCAGGCTTCAAAACACCCTTTTGTAACTGGGGAACCTTTCACATGCCCATATAAGCCTCCTCTGGAGACCCCTCGTATGGTAAGTAGAGTAGGAGCTGTTAAATTGACTTTCTAAGATTTAATCTGGGTTTGTACTGTGAGATTGTGATCTTCCTTAAAGAGTAACTCCCGATACAGGGATGGGCATGCAAAGTAGTTTTTGAAAATCTATTTTGATTCAGCTTATTGTTCTTCTGGATTGATTCTTGAGTATATTATAAATTAGTCCATCTAGCTTTGGAAAATGAATTAATAGTCCCTCTTGTTTCAAAAACTAATTAATTAGTTCCTTGACCAGTCTTAACCATGTTTAATTTAATTTTTTTTAAAAAAAAAAAATTTGAAAAAGAATGAAAGAAAAAAGTTACAAATAGATTTAGAAACATACATGCTAATTAATTAGGTATTGAAACTAGAGGGATTATTTAATTCTTTTTGACAAAATAGAATTCTAGAGGGACTTATTTGTAATTTGCTCAATAATTCTTTTATTAATTTACGGGATTCATTTATTGCCTGGTTTTCTCCATCCTGCCCGTATATCTGGTACTTCAACTTGTAGCTCATATATGTTTCTGTTTTATAAATAATTTTGAAGTTCAAGAGAACTATCTGTACTATTTAAGTAGTTGGTTCCTCCTCACAAACCTCGTTCTTGCGTAATGGGCCAGGAAATTATTTAACATGATGGGAAGGAAGAGGAATTAATGCTCCATAAAAAAATGTTGATTTTATTATCTGTCTGTGAACGCCTGTCCATTTCTCCTTCTTTACCTATTTCTTCCTTCTATAGGTTAGGCTTCTTGTTTTATTACTATTATATGTTGGACTAATAGTTTTTTTTGGGAGTTAAGGCACATTTAATGGTTGTTATTCTTTTGAAATTTTACTCATCTTTCTCTGTGGTTGTAGCCTGTTTCCCAAAATTTTAAGGTGGACCATCACCCAGGTGGAGGGCATTGGTTTGCAGCTGGTCTCTCTCCTAATGTGAGCTCATGTCTTTTTTTCAATTTTCCATTATTTCTTAACTAGCCAGGATTGAACACATTCCTCCAAAACTTACCTCCACCAAAATAATAATAATAATAAATAAATAAAGATACATTACATTTCTATTTTCTTTTTGATTGATTTTAAAATAGTTAATGTTAGTCCTAAAATTCAAAAACTTAGGAAATCAATATAAAAAATGAAAACCTCATTTACTACTAAAATTACTTTCTTGAAGTTGCTAGGAGTAAATTGATATTAGAAGAATTCCAAATTAGGTCATTAAAATACAGTATGTCTCTCTACTGGATCGGGAGCAAACAAATGGATGTTACTATATTATGTTTTTGTTTCAACATCAGGAAAAGGGGGGGGGGAAATAGAAAGGTAGAAGAAAGGTCAATGTGGAATAGGAAGAAAAGGGGAAAAAATATATAACCATCACTCTGTCTTTTTTATGTAGAATCCTGGAAGGACCAGAGTTTCCTTGCACACTAGCCCACATTTCCTGGCAGTTCCATATGGTCATGGTACTAGTTATGGTAGTGTAGGAAGTCATGGCAGCTATAATGATGGCATTGGCCTTGGAAGCAGCTATGGAAGCTATGGAGATAGCAGTAATATGTTTGCATATTATTCACCAGTTGCTCCCTCTGGCATGAACATGCATCCACAGGCTGGTCTGTCAATGTTTGGAAGTAGTCCAGATGCAAGATGGAGGTTTGTTCAATATTCACATGGAAATGGTCTTGGTATGAGTCCATCAGCAGGAAACTTCGCACCACTGCCCCTTGGAACCAGTCCCTCACAGTTTACTCCACCAAGCTCCTACAGTCAAGCTTCAGCTGGTTCTCCTGGACATTATGGTCCAACTTCCCCTGCAAGAGGCTGCAGTCATGGATCCCCTTTAGGAAAAATGGCTGCAGTTACTCAATTCAATAGAAGAAAAAGTTGGGGGTATTCTGGAAGTTCTCAGTCTCAAGAGTGTACATCTTCAAATTGGCAAGGACAATCAACTGATGGTACTTTCTCTAACCAAGCTGAGGAAAATCCTGCGGTACTTGGTAATTCACCCTCACATCGGCAGTCAAGCTGGATGCAGCAACAAGGAGGCAGTGGAAGTGTACCAGGTCCCTCAGCCATTCAGAGTATTCCAGGCTCTTTTAAGCCTAGTCCTAAAATGAACTGCTCTCAAAGTGCGGGTCCTATTCATGATAAGCCTGATGCTAGCCTTTCACTGCCAGATCCAGGGGATTGGGATCCCAATTACAGGTAAGAAATGAGAGTTTTTTATATTGTTAATTTCTATCATATTTTCTTGCAGAGTACATTGATACCTTGCATATTACGTTCACATTTACTCGCAAACAAAATGACATTGGAAGGGACAGATTTTGATGGGTTTATTGAACTTAGCATAAAATAGAGTTGTTGATCCATGCAATCCTTAGGATATTTTCTTCTTCTTCTTCTTCTTCTTCTTTTTGAATAAAAAGAAGAATTTATTGAATCAAATATGTTAAAAGTTTAACTTGTATGTATTGACATGTTTTAAAAGTTCAATTTGTATCGTGTGATTTAGCAAGATCTGACTATGATTCCCGCCATTGGTTTTATGAGATATTAACACTGCATAAGCTGATAAAAACAAAATTCATGGTTGTCCCTTTTTTTTTTCTTACCACAATTACTTTTAGATACAAGTCTTTCCATTAAATAGAACCTCAGGGTTTTCTTAAGCTGTCAACCTTAGATGAAAAAAAGCAGCAGTCATCCCTAGGTTTTTATCAGCCCGTGGAGCAAGCTGCCTCTGTTAAACCATCTTTTGGCTGTTGGTGCCTGTTTGCTTGTATGTTGGGATTCAGTCACATATATAACTTCATCCTTTATTGATAGGTTTATTCTCATCCGCATTTCAGAATGTGACTCATTTAGGAGTAAACCAGCTCTAATTTTTTAGCTGTCTTTTTCTTTAGCACATGATTATATTTGCTTAATTCAAGGTTTGATTGGGACGTAAGCTGAAAGCATATTGACTTTGGTATAAGTGTTCGTAATCAGTTATTAAAATTTCCATAAATATCTTGCTTACATTAGGTTACAATATGCTGATATAAATATTGCATGTGAAAAGTTGAAGGCTATTTATTTCATCTAGTAATAATAAGCACATTTGAAAAGCATAAAAAAAAAAAAACATCAGATAACAGTTGCTTTGGCTATATGACTTTTTCACTGGCTGCTTCTCTTTTCTTAACACTAATTGGTGGAGCAGTGGGTGGCAATGCCGGCACATCTCCAAAGAAAAATTTCAGGGGCAATTTAAAATAGCATGATTATTATCAATTGTAGTCTCTACCACGTGCTTGTTTAATCTTTTAGTGTGGCATCTGTTATTCGTGTTCCAGTGATGAACTTCTTCTGCAAGAGGATGGTTCAGATGTGAGTTCCTTGAGCACTGAGTTTAGCAATAGCATGCATCTTGGTTCTGGTGTTCCAATGGCAGGTGTTGGAAGATCCAACCATGCCTCAAATGCGAGCTCTAGTTCATCAAACCTAAGGTATGCTTTGTGTTGAGCAAAAAGCATACAATTTCTCTCAATTTACTTGGCTGCCTGAAATTTTTTACCAACTTCAAGTGATAATAATAATAATTATTATTTAACTATTGTGCAATTGGTGGAGCCTAGCATAAATCAAAAATATTGTGCAGGCAGCAAAAACTTTCACTACTCAAGCAAACCAAATTCGAATATAGAAACTGTTGATTGACTGAGTGCTTCTATGAAACTTCAAATTTTGAAAATTGAATGTTGAAATTGTTGCTTCATTTTTTCTATCATATTTTCTTTGATAATTCATGTTTTCTATCATTTATTTCTCTTTTTCCTTCTAATTTTTTGAGAAGGTACCAGTGGGCATTATGTTTTTACTTTTAAATATTTTTCTTACTATTCTTGACTCCTTTGTGGCTGTATCATGATTATGTCAGACAAAATGGGCCTATTCATTCATTTTCACATGATGACGTTGGCAGTCCGCCTTCAGCACATGATCTCCATGTTGGATATGGCCGTTCAATGTCAAAGCCTTCTTACTTTACGCCTCATGTCTCACAAAATTCTCCAAGCCGCTTAGGACAGCAACCCCTTCAGCGTTTCAGTCATGGAAGGCCTGCTGGTCGGGGTAGTGAATGGAATCATATCAAGGTCCAGCCCCTTCTTCCAGCTTCAATTCTGGGGGCAACGTTCTCCAGGAAGCAGTTCATTGAACAACAGCATGCCATGGGGTACTTCCTGACTTTTTTGCTTAATTCTTTGTTTGAGCCACGTGAATTGAAGTGTATTAACTGTTACTGAATATCTTTTGTAGGGCGTAGGGCCAATTTCAATAGCATTCCACCACCATCCCGGGGAAGAAAAGACTTTGGAAGGATTGCCTAGTTTCGTAGTCACCTTAATTTTTTACTGTGATGGTTTTGTTATTGAATGTTGGAAGAAAGTTGTACACAAGAGTTCACATGCTTAGTGGGCTGTTGCTTCGAAAATCATCATCTGAGACATGCTCATTCATTCTGCTTGCATAAAATATAATTCATGATTGTGGTTTCTTTCATATTCTGATCATTTGACATGCAATCTTTTTGTTTCTTGGTTCCAACAATTCTGCGTCACTGGCACCCCTATATCAAGTTTTCAATTTAGGCATTTTACTCTGATTGCATTTTATGTATTTGAAGGATTAAGCTTATCCAGGAAGTTCAACTTTAGCTTCTAGGAAGAATTCAGCTGAGAGTCAGACGCCAAGGGTGATGACTGGAGGTATTGCATAGGTCATAGAGTTACCCATTTGCTTTTCGTGTTTCCAAGTGTAAATTGTATATTATTTACTTGAATTGTTGTAAACTGTAATAGAATTCGGTGGATTGTCTTCTTTATTATTTTTTTCGCTAGTATTTTATGATTTCAAGCTCACTTGGCAGTAAACAGTTTAACATTGTTGGTGTAGATTGGATTTTTCGAATACAAGATGATGCTGTGTTTTTTCAGCTTACTGCATGTAATATTTAGGGTTTCATTTTCTTGCCTGGCAAAATTCTGAAGAGAAGAAATCATGCTGCTTCCAAAAAAAAAAAAAAAAAAAAAAAAAAGGATGACAAGAGTAGGATTATCTTTGCACATTATCTTATTAATTTTTTGGTCCAATATTCATTTTTGTTTTTCTTACATATATTTCAACTTTTTTGAAATTGAATAATGTTTGTTGGAAATGGCCAGTTTGGTTTTAGAAGCCCCAAAAGAAAAAAAAAAAAAAAAAATCTGAAGAATGTGATAAGATTCAAATGTTAAGGATGGGGTCAATGGAGAAAGAGAATGCGTGTGTGAAGCACATAGTTAGTTGAAATGGGGACGCAAAGGTTTGGCCTACAGCCATAGTTTTTTGGCACAGATGCAGTCATTATTTTGGTGTTATATGGCTACCAAGGAGTAAATTATACACTAGCCCCTCTTGTTTCTAGAAGTGAATTTATTAGTCTATTTTGTTTTAAAAACTAAAAATTTAGTTTTTCATGTTTTAATTTGGTTATTAACTTGGTTTTTTTAATCAATTTTTTTATTAAAATGATGACGAAGATTCTTAGCATAATGTTTTTTATTCTTAAATTATTATCTTTTATATATTATTCTCTCATTTACATATATTTCTTCTTTTTTTTTTTTTTTTTATCTTCCAGAATCAAAATAAATCCTCATTTTTCTTTTCAAATCTTCAATTTTTATTCTATTAATCTCCATTCATTTTCTCTCTTCTTATCAAAATATATTTCCATAAATTGATATATATATTAAAGAATATTTTAGATATTAGGTGTTAATTTGATAGATCTGAAAAAAATAAACAAGAAAGACAAATAAAATAAAATAAATAAATAAACAATAAAGGATTAAATAATTAATTTTTAAAACAAGATTAATCAATTCATTTTTTGAAACAAGAGGGACTAATTTATTATTCATTTCTCAAACATGCAATAATAATGTTGTTATAAAAATAAGGAGAATTAAAATAGAAAAAAAAAAAGGTAGAAAAGAACAAAACAGAAAGAAAAGGAGAAAGAGATCATGAGAAGAGAGGAAAGAAATATAGAAGTGGAAAAATGGCAGTCTCTGCACCACTCAAACAAGGACCCAATATCTCTTCTGGCCAATAGCAACTCTCCTTTCCATATCTCTTATACCCTTTTTGAAGCTATAACCCTCCATTTTCTTTACTGAAATCATCCTAGTAGTAAGGGAATCAAAACAGGATTAGTTTTTTTCTTTTTCTTTTTCTTTTTTCCCGTTTTTAATAATAGTAATAATAATTAAAAATAAAAACTTAAAAAAATCTTTCACTCAGACAAATAAGGTTGTAACAAGGTTGGTTTGGGTTTACAACCACTCCTCCCCTAACCGTTTATTGCTTCACTTTGGAATCCTCAACTCTTCCCTATCACCTTCTGCTTTTGCTTTCCTAAGAACTGTTGTCCTTCAGGTATGCAACTCTTGAACCTTGGACAGCAGTTCTTGTCCTTCCCTTTTTTTTTCTTTTTTCCTAAAACCCTTTAAATTTGCCTATGTTTCTCCTTTTCTTCTGCTGTTAACTGAATTCGGGTTGAATTGTCTCTTTCTTTCATTCTTTTCACTCGTTACTTGTGTTGTTCTTCTTGGTCACTTTGTTTGGATCTTGAACAGAATCATTGAGACAGTTTTAAGGCTTGGTAATATAGCTCAACCCAAAATTATAGTATGGTTTTAAGATTTTATTAGTATCATATTCAGTTTTGATGGGACCTTTGTTCTTATCTCATATATTTCTTTTCATTTCCTATAGGATTGGAGATTGATGTTTCTAGAAATTTAAAGTTGAACTCTATAGATGTATTCAATTGGTTGCTGGATACTAACCCTCTGCTTATTACTCTTGTGCAGTATATATATCTGTTGTATATAAGTTTCTCATGCACCATTTTTTTAGCTGGGGTCTGCTTGAACTTGAACTTCTTTATTTATTTCTTTGGTTTGGATAGTTCGAATATGATGAACTTAAAACAAATTTGGTAGATTGTTATGGAATGTGATGCAGTAAGGATCATTATTGTCCCTCCGTTACATTGTAATCGCATTCTGTCAAACAAATAGTTACTGTTTCTAACCTCTCCAGGAGCCTGATATATATATATATATTTTTTTCCAATTCTCTTTGCTTTTAATTCCAGAAGGCTACCGAAGTGAGCCAAGGGAGATTTATCCTAAAGAACATCTACATGGACTGAACCTAGTGAAAGAGTAAACTTGAAGAGCGGCAGACTTGTTCATCAGTTTTCTAAAAGCTTTTGATGGTTATTGTACAAACCTGAAGAGTATCCATATGATGGCCACTGCTGCAGTTATTGGACTTAGCACAGGAAAGAGGCTCTTGAGTTCATCCTTCTATTACTCAGACCTCACAGAAAAGCTTTCCAATGTCAATGATCATGGAATAACCCATTATCAAATTACTACAACAAAGAATGTGGTTGTTGCAAAAAAGTCATCAAATTATGGTCCTGGCTTCCCCCCGTCCAATCGAAATTCACAATCCATTAAAGCCCTTAAAGAACATGTGGATACTGCTTCTGCTTCTCCAACTGTGGCAACATGGGGCAAGGCCTTTGATGACTTTGAGGAAGAAAGTTCTGATCTTGACTATTCAGTAGAAGCTCTCCTTTTGCTGCAGAAGTCTATGCTGGAAAAGCAATGGAGTCTTTCTTTTGAGAGGACAAACTCAAGTGACTTAACAAGTAAAAAAAGTAACAAGAAGATACCTGTCACTTGTTCTGGGGTGTCTGCTAGACAACGAAGGATGAATAACAGGAGAAAAAATCAGAACCAGAGTAAATTGATGTCTCAAAGTAGTGACTTTAAGCTGCTAAGGTCAGTTATTAGTCCAGATCTGTTGCAGAATCGTTTGAAAGGTTATGTGAAGGGTGTAGTAAGTGATGAGGTGCTCCCCCATACAGAAGTTGTGCGGCTGTCAAGGATAATTAGAGCTGGTCTTTCCTTGGAGGACCATAAGTCCAGGTGAGAATGCAATATTGATGATAAGAGAAGTTTTGTGGTTCAGTGTAGTTATTCGTTTGCACACTTTGTTGATTCTATGATGAGTAGCTCTACAGCATTTTTCTGAGGTAAGATAGATTTTGAACATGACAACGGCCCATATAATCGAGGCAACGGTATGGATGGCAAGAAGTTTTTCTTTCCTGATTACTTACACCTTGCTCCAAGTTCTCGAAACTTTGGACAATTTTATGTGAAGAGAAATCATGATTTAGTTTCTTTAATGTGATAAACCCTTCTTTTTAATGAATAAAATCAATGTCTTCCACTTGTGTTTCATTGAATTGCTGTATGATCTATAAATTTGAATTTGGAAATTTCAGGCTGAAGGAGAGATTAGGTTGTGAGCCCTCAGATGAACAACTTGCGGATTCCTTGAGGATTTCTCGTGCCGACTTGCAGTCAAAGTTGATTAAATGTTCTTTGGCAAGAGAGAAGCTGGCAATGAGTAATGTTCGTCTGGTTATGTCTATTGCTCAAAAATATGATAACATGGGTGCTGAAATGGCTGACCTTGTTCAGGTTACTTTCTTTTGCTTCACTTCAAGTATGAAATGATGATATTCATGAATCACTGTAACTTGGTTAGAGTTGTGTCCGTCCTCTTATATATGTGCTATGTTTGTATATTTCTCACGCAGGGAGGTTTGATTGGACTACTACGAGGTATCGAGAAATTTGATTCTTCCAAAGGGTTCAAAATCTCAACTTATGTCTATTGGTGGATACGTCAGGTAAGGCTGATTTTTCCTTTTCAAGTTTAAATGACTTCATATATTGGAACAGCAGACATTACCACCAGCAGTTGTTTGCATATCCCACAATGGATAACCACACAAATCTTTTGTATCATGACATTCCAGTAACCTATATTCGATAACATATCTTCCTATGAAGATTTTTAGCATTCATGACACTTCTGTTTCTACCCACAGCAATTCTAAACTGCAAAATGAGTTTGTCGTGTTTCTCCTACCTGAAATCCTTAGTTGTATGTTATTCATGCTATGATTATAGTACCATCATGTTCATTAGTGATACTACGAAATTAATGCTTTTTACATCTTTGTTTCGACACAGGGTGTCTCTAGAGCTTTAGTCGAGAATTCAAGAACCTTACGATTGCCTAATCATTTACATGAAAGGTTAGGCCTGATTCGGAATGCAAAGATTAGACTAGCAGATAAAGGAGTAACTCCATCAATTGATGTAAGTGCATTATTTTCCAGGTTCAAAATGACAGCAATTTAGTTTCTCAATTTATCCTGTGTTTAAGAATAGAGTGCAGTTGCTTCATTCATCTCTCCATGAGGAGATAGTTAATTTTAAATTTTGTTCTATTGTGTTTCGATATTGTTCCCCATATGAATCTTCTCATTTCGCTGTTATTTTCAGAGAATTGCAGAAAGCTTGAATATGTCCCAAAGGAAAGTTAGGAATGCTACTGAGGTACTAAATTTATGAATCTACTTGTTCTACTTCTATTGCCTTATGCTCTCTCTTTATGCTTACCAAACAATGTCATAATGCACAGGCTATTAGTAAGGTCTTCTCGCTCGATAGGGAAGCATTCCCCTCTTTGAATGGTCTTCCAGGAGAAACACACCATAGCGTAAGTGAAGCTCAACTCTGGTTCTGCAGATCCTTTGGAGGAAACTATCGTTCACCTTCTCATGTGTCTTTCTTGTCCATCATGGACTCATTTTCTTTCCTCTCTTTTTCTAAAAGTACATTGCAGATAATCGCCTCGAGAACAATCCGTGGCATGGAGTAGATGAGTGGGCACTCAAGGTAAAAAGAACAAGAACGCAAGAATTATCAGTGAGAAGGAAAAACTTTAATGGAAGAACAAACCAGCAATTAACTGATACAGTTTTAAGTCTGCCATGAGGCACAGTTACGAATATAATACTATATGTGTGTGTGTGTGTGTGTAACTCATCCTCTTGTATTCTTTTTCTAAACTATTCTAAGAGGAAAAATATTGATTGGTTGAGTAATGAATTGACAGGAGGAAGTAAACAAGCTTATATATTCTACTCTTCAAGAACGAGAAAGAGAGATTATACGTCTATACCATGGCCTGGATAAGGAATGCCTTACATGGGAGGACATTAGCAAGCGGTGAGTAAATTTTTGTATTGCTTCTGCTTGCTGAATTATAGCAAAAGACATCATTGCATACTAGAAATGACATTGTTAAATGGCCAAGTCTGATCAAGTAATTCAACTAACCTTTTTCTAATACCTGTTCTTAATGCATCTTAGACTTCATATCAATCAGAACTAGACTTGAGTATCTTGAAATTTTCGGTTCCATTTTGCACCGCTCATAGTTTTAAATCTGTTATATAATGGTAACAAACATGCATGAATCCGTTATATAACGACTGTTACATTACACAATGGCCGTCATTTGAAACTATGGCATCACTTACTATATGTTATTATTGTTAACTTCGGACTTATAGATTGATGATTTGTGCTATCTTTTTCAGCATGGGGTTATCCAGAGAAAGAGTGAGACAGGTGGGACTTGTTGCACTAGAGAAACTAAAACATGCTGCGAGGAAGAGGAAGATGGAGGCCATGTTAGTCAAACATTAAGTTTTGTGTTTTCTTCAATGGGAATTAATTGTTTGTATATATACAGAAAAGGAAAACTCTATCTTCCATTTCATACCTTTTTCTTTTCTTTTCTTTATAAATCGGAAGTATAGGAGGTCATGTTGAAGTGCCTATTACCCTAAACTTTCTGTAGAGTTTAAACACTGATTAAGAGCTCGTAAGCTGGTGCAGATTTTTTGTTTTTATTTTTATGTATTTATCATTTAAGGAGAGAAAATTCTGTATCTGGAATCAAAATAATTTTCTTCGACATTTAGATATAATTTTTGTTCACTAAAAACTTGCACTCTATTTTCTTATTTTCTTGAAATCACTTCTCCATGAAAAATTTCTGTAGGAACATGTCATTTTCTTTTTGTTTGTTTTTCTAAGGAGAATCTAGGCATGCTGGAAATTGTTGGCTAAATAGCTTAATGTGATTTTATATAATAATTTGAGTTTTCAATCTGTTTCGTTTTTAATTGTTTTTATAATATTTTTGAATAATATTTAAGTTTTTAATTTGTCTTTCAGATAATTTTTTCAATTATGAATTTGTTATATATGCTAGGATTTTCATTTAAGTAGCTTTTTTGTTTTTTTTTCACTTGTGCTAAATAAAATCGCACCATCCTATTTGATGAGTAAATTATAAATTAGTCCCTCTAGTTTTAAAAAATAAATTAATTAATCTCTTTTGTTTTAAAAATAAATTATTTAGTCTTCATGTTTTTAAATTTATTTGTAACTTAATCTTTTTTTTTTTCAAGATATATATACATGAAAAGATTGATAAGAAAATAAGATATTTTGTAAAATAAAAATAATATTAAATTAAGCATAGTCAACACAAGTCAAAAGACTAAACAATAATTTTTAAAACAAAAGAAACTAATTAATCTGTTTATTAAAATTAGAGGGACTAATTTATAATTTACTCAATGTTTGTGAGTTCATTCATTAAAAGAAGAAGAATAAGAAGATACATGTTTGTGAGTTGAAAGAAAATGTTATTAATAACTGACAGTGACAGATAGATACAAATTGAGTAATAAAAGTTTAATAAATTATGAAAATAAAAATAAACTCGAATTATCTCAAATTTTTAAACTTACATATATATTTTGGCGTAGTTTTCAAAATATTTGCATGCTGTTTCTAAAATTAATATATAAAGATTTGATTATAGGTATTATGCATTCGACCATTCAAATATTTCGAGAATCATAATATGATTAATATAAATGTATATAGTTTTTTAAAGACCTCCAAAAACTTTGAGAATCATTCCAAATTATTTCTAAATTTTTATAGTTATGTAAATATTTAATTTTTAACAATAATGAAAAAATGTTTGATGATTTTAAAAAAATTGAAATTATTTTTCAATATAGATTGAATTTTCATTAGCATTTTGAAAATTTTCATCTCAAAATATCAAAAATTGATTTTTTTTAATGGCTATTAATTGCCAGTAATAATAGTTTAAAGATAAAATTAGTACAGCCCCTAATATGTCACAAGTACGATACTTCAAGAGTAAAAAATGACATAACAAAGAAACTAAAAGAAGTGAGGCTTTTCGATAGTGATTTCCACTCTTAATCTCCTCACAATTCATTATTTATTTACTATGACTTATGTTTTTTTTATATATATAATTTTCAAGTGGCTTCATTTTGGTCTCTAAAATTTTAAAATATAAATTTCAATCCCATAGTTGATGCATTACACATGTTTTTTTTTTCATCAATTTATGTTTTGTTATTATTTAATAGGGTGTTAAAATTTTGAAAAATCAATCATTATTTTTTTCCACACAAATTAACAATTTATAATATATACGATATTTTTTAGATTTTAGAATAAATATATGCTACTATTATTGTTTAAAATTAATCTTTTCAATTTATTATAAAAATTCCCATCAAGTTAATTTTTATTCTTATTTTTCTATATAATTTTATTTAATAATAAATATGATTTATTTTATCTATATATGGATTTGAATAAGTTTTTTTTATACCTTTTTTTATTTGCTTAACTCTTATATAATCAAATTTTATTTTATCGAAATCAATTATATTTTTTCTTTTGCACCCCATTAACTTCAATATATATTTTACAATTTAATTTTTTAAAATATTTTTCAATTTATGCTATATATTTTCATCCATTGAGTACGATCATGATATATAAAAAAACAAAAAAATTATTGATTTTATTAGAAATCAACTATGTATCTACACACACAATACCAACTATTTGCAATTATTTTTTTAAATATTTTTTAAATATTTTTTCAAATAAAATAATTAAAATAATATTTTAGAATAACCATCTAATAATTCAAATATAATTTTTTATACTAATATTATTTATTATTTTGTAAATAAATATATATAAATCAAATGTACATATTTTAAAAAATAATATTCTCATCAATAAAAAAAGCTTCATTTTTTAAATTTTCATACAAGTTTTTATAATAATTATTACTTTATTTATTCAATGCAATGTTATGAAAAAAAAATATTAAGACGTTTTTTTAAAATATTTATATTAAATTTTTTTTTATTATGGGTTTTTATTTAAGAATAAATGCATAAGAAAGAACAAATCATCTTTTTTTCTTACTTCAAATTTTATTCAAAGCATAATATATATATATATATATATATAGAGAGAGAGAGAGAGAGAGAGAGATAATTGAAATTAGGTTTCATCCAAAAAATATAAGTATTGTGGTCGATTACTCCTTCTCAACCTTATATGTTAGTAATTTTTTGTTTAACCATTCAACGTGAGATATGTATTTTAACACTCTTCCTCACTTGCAGTCCATCTTTTTAGGATATGGCAAATGGTTTAGACTCCACGATCTTTATTAGGTCGTTAGACCTATTTGAGGATCCGATATCATATAAAATTAAACAGTTGAGATTGGGTTCCATCCAAAAAAATTAAACCTTATCATGGGTGGTTCTTTCTCAACCTTATATGTCAATCATTTTTTATTTAACTATTCAATTTGGGATATGTGCTCTAACAATATAGATACAAAATTTTGATTAAAAATTATAAAATTAGATAAAATTAAACAGCTTGAGATTGGGTTCCATCCAAAAAAATTAAACCTTATCATGGGTGGTTCTTTCTCAACCTTATATGTCAATCATTTTTTATTTAACTATTCAATTTGGGATATGTGCTCTAACAATATAGATACAAAATTTTGATTAAAAATTATAAAATTAGATAAAATTGTATCATTTATGCTTAATTTAATATATTTTAATTAACCAACAATATAGTATAAATTATCAAACTAAAATAAATATATTTAGTTTGGCCCACAACATAGCATAGGAATCCGAACTATTTATATGCTTTAAATTCCTATTCCTTTATTCTTCATATGCATAAAATTATTATTTGCTTGATGACAATTTAAGTAATTTTTTTGTGTTTTGCGCATTAATAAGCAAATTTAACACTTTTTCCTATTTTCATCCCTCATGTTGTAGCATTTTTTTTCAATTCTTAGCTTTCTTTTTTCTTTTAGTTGCACTCAACGTATATATTACTCTTATTATTTAAATTTCATTCTTTAAATTTATCATTTTTTTATGAAAATTCTCGTTCAATTAATATTTTTTCTATAAAAATTTATTTACTGATAAATATAATTTTTTTTCTATTTTGAATTTTGAATTTTAGAATAAAATTTTAAAACATGATTGTTTTTTCTTTTTTTAAAAAATAAATTGGCATAATATACATAATGAATTCTTAAAATTTTTAAATGATAGTTGCATATATATATATATATATATATATATATATATATATATATTATTCTCAAAGCTTAAAAGTATATTTTAAATAGTCTATCTCAATTCACTAGATATGGTTAAGACATATAAAAGAACTATTGAATCATTATTTTTATTAAAAATTAACTATACATCTTCTAACATAATAATAATTATTTACTATGAATATTTTTTCAACATTATAGAACCAATTTATTTCAAATAAAATAATTAAAATAATTTTTTAAAGGAACCAAACCAATTATTCAAATATAGTTTTTTATGCTAATTTTATTGATTATTTTGTAAATAAATATATAAAGATCAAATGTATATACTTTAAAAAAATAATCTTCTCACCAATATTAACTAAGAATAAAATTTTATTTTTTCATTAGTTAATTTTTATGCAAGTTTATACATTAATTGTAACTTTATTTTTTTGATACATTCTTTGAATATATATATATATATATATATATATATATATAAAGTTTTTTTTTTGAATTCCTAATTAATATTTTAGGTTTAAATTATTATTAGTTTTATTTAAGAATCCCTGAATAAAGAAGAATAAATCATGTTTTTTAAGCAAAAATTTTATGAAAAACACAAAAAATAGTAATAATTAAATAAAAAATTAATGAAAAATTATAAAATTTTAAAATGATTTTGTTCTATATGCCCACGACATTTCGAGATAATTTCAAAAATTAATCTTCTCATCAACATTAAACAAGAATTTTTTTTCATTTGTCAATTTTTATAAAAGTTTATCTATTAATTATAATTTTAGTTTTTAATTAAATATTATGAAAAATATATTTTAAAAGTTTTTTTTTAATTCTTGATTAATATTTTAGTTAAAATTATTATAATTTTTTATTTTAAAATGAATCCATAAAGAAGAATGATTTATGTTTTTTTTAACAAAAAATTAATGAAAAACATTAAAAAAATTAAAATTTTAAAATTTTAAAATAATTTTGTTATGCTAGAGGATGCAACCGGCTAGTGACTATCTATAAAACATTTTGAATTCTCCATTTTCATTTAACTCCCTTACATAGTTCCTTTCTCGGCAACACTAAATGAACGCTGCATAGGAAACAGTTGCTTTCAGCTTTGACTAGCTTCTCTTTATCCAATAACGTTATTTCTTACCTGGGTACATATGCCACTGTTTAAAGGTAGATCAAAGATTGAATGCTTTGTCCCTTTGGAAATCAAGATGAGAACAAACTTGCAGGTTGGAAAAGAAAATTACTTTCAGCAGGTGGCAAACTCACCTTAATCCAAAGTGCTTTGACCTTTAGCCATGTCTACATTATGGGTGTTCTGTCGATCCCCAAGACTTCCCTAGCCCGTATGCAGAGCTATATCTCCAACTTCTTCTAGAGTAGCGAAGGGGAAAATCGGCACTACTGGGTTAATCAGAGGACAACTTCCTTCCCTTTGAACAAGGGTGGTTTGGGCGTTAGGAATCTGGAGGAGGTCATGAATGCCATGAAAGGCAAACTTGCTTGGTTTTATCTCACTGGTTCCTCTCTTTGGAGTCTTTTTGTCAAGTCCAAATATGGAATGCCTTCGGTTCTAGATCCCATATTTCGCAGAACAGGCTCTCTTGTTTGGAGAACTCTTATTCCTCATATATTGACTTTAATGGATCACTCTACTTGGATAGCTGGCCGAGGCAATATTCAAATCTAGTTTGACAAGTAGACAACTGCTGTCCTGCCCACCCCTACAACAATTACCAATATTTCTCTACTTCAGGCGAAACGGGATGATTCCATCTATGTGTCGCCATCCCAGTTGATAAGAGATGAACTGGATCAGATTGTTTTAGATGAGAATATAGATGATAGACTTACTTATATAGATTTGGCTAATGGTACCTTCAGCTCTAAGGTCTGTCACGAGGCCAACAGACTTGTAGCTCCTCAGTTTGAGTGGTGGCGTTACCTCTGGAATAAATGGTTACCAAAGAAGATGGGTGTTTTTGCATGAGGCAGTTGAGACCAATATTCAGCACTATGGTATCTCTTTGGCTTCTAAGTGTCATCGTTGCTTATCATCGAAGAGGGAGACTAGAGACCATCTCTTATTACATGGCTTTTCTGCAAGACAATTATGGGAGTATTTTGCTAATGTTCTAGATGTAATTCCAGCTTCTGGTGCTTTGCTAAATCTAATGAGATCATGGCTTCGACAAGGTACTTTCACCACCCAAAAAACCTTTTCCAAAATGATTGTTTTTAATTACATTTTATGGTAATTGTGGCTAGCCAGAAATAAAACAATCCTGGAGGATGCCCACATGAATTGGATCTCCATCAAGCATAAAGTTCTCATTTGGCTAAGGGATCTGAATTCGCTCTTTAGCCCAAGAAAGCCTTTATCTCCTTCCATGATGGGGATATGTTTGAAAGCTTTGGGTATTCAACAAAAACTGATGACTGTTTCTAAAGGGATGTGGATTAAATGGCTCTTTCCTCCTTCGGAAAAAAGTGAAAACTTAATACGGTTGGAGTTTTTTGAGAGATGATGCAGAGAACCTTCTAATGGCCTTTTCTAGTCTTTATGATCCAAGGACTAATTCTAGGAGGGAAGCTTTGGCTCTTTTACAAGGAATTAGATTATGCTCTGATCGAAATCTACACGTTGATATTGTAGAGTTAGACTCTTCTCTAGTCATTGGTTGCATCTCCCGCTCATTGACATGCATTGGCATCTTAATTATATCATCAAATCTTGTTGCCTATAAACTTTGATTTTAATTGACTGTGTCACCAATTGGTTTCCTTTTTCTCAATTTTAGTTTACTCTCATACAGCATATTTTATGCTCCTCAATACACCTATACCTAGGTTATTTTGTTTTAGAGGATTTTTTTTTCTAGGGTATAAGCTTCCTTTCCCTCCCACCCTTTGGGTGTCCCCCCGGTATCTTTCCCACTTCTATTTATAGATTGTCAAAGTACTTCCCCACTTCTATTTATAGATTGTCAAAGTACTGTCCCTATTTTATATATATATATATATATATAAAATGTCTTGTATTCTGTTGAAAGATTTCCAAAATTAATGCTGACTGATTTCACGTATGTTATCAAAATTTAGTAAAATATTAAACTGATTTTATAAGGTTATCTACGACAGTTTACAGAACATGAAACTCCTCACAAATTATATGTTACTTGCCAAAGTGTTGAGTTAGTAATTGAAGAGAAAAACCCTACAAACAAGTGATCTATAACAGCAGCACTAGAGAATTGGCTTATAAAGTTTTGTAGAATGTAAAGGAACTGGTATGCATTACAAAAATGGTTTCATATGTATTTTAATGGAGGAAGGAATGGTCAGAAATTTGGATTGCAAATCCTTAAATATAACACTTTATTTCTGATCTGCAACAAGTTTTTGACCTGCCTTCATACTGACGAGCACGGTTTTGCTGGTGAAAAGTATGTTAACAGAGACAGTGACAGATTGGGTCTGTTAACACGCCTGGAAATTCTCCGCAGCAGCATCAGGAATCCATCGATTTTCCAACAATCACAGTTCTAACATGCAGGTAAAGGATTCTTCAATAGACAAAACTATTTTGATCATCCTAGTGCCCACTATTTCCTGGAGTTAGACAAACCTCATGAATGTGGAGAATGCAGAGCATGAGTAACAAATTGACTGTTGCTTTCTCATCTCACTCTCTTCTACCCTCCGTAGTCCGATAGTCTGTCATGCACTTTTGTTGTCTGAGTCAAGTCAGTCTGAAACTGGCACCTGACAAGTATATATAAGAAGGAAGAGAGAGATACAAACTAAAATAAAGGAAGAGAAAACCAGTATAAATACAACGACGATTCAAGTGATTTAAACTTGGAATTGCCCTTGAGTCGTGAAGCTTTACGAATAAATCTTTGTTCCAGTTAAGATCTCAATAAAGAAGAAACATATTTCATTAATCTACTGAGCTTTAAAACCCCTTCGCTCCTTCCACTCCATACACACCACATTGTAAACCCTGTCATCAAATTCCTGCATCATATCTTCAACTGCCCATTCCTCAGAAAAACCTCTAGAGAGTCAAACTACATACATTCTAAAAGACATGTTCATCAAATTGTAAGTATATCTCAAGTTCTGCAACCAAGTCCATAAGAAATGCCAAATAATTGAAGTAAATAATGAAAAGCAGTTGCAATCTCCAGGAAGAAAATATAACCAGAGAGGAGAGACAAAGAAACCAGCTAAGCATGTTTTTGAGATCATTGGAAGTTACTTGGTTCATATCATTTCCCTCAAAACTATCCAAGGTTCATGCACTGAGACAAGAACAATGTACCTTATAGAGACCAAAGCAATAGCTGCTCCTTATTCTTTCTCCATTTTTTCCAGAAAAACAACAGCAGCACCTCAGATGAAGCGTTCACATATACTTCATCCCATGTTTTATAGCTTGAGCTGAATCCCAATTCAGTCACCAGAGAAGGATTTCCTTTTTTATTCCAATGAGAATTCCACATAGAACAGAAAAAATAAATACGGTAAATCTAACATCAACAAGCATGTTGACATGAGACCTAGAATGTTAAATATTTTGACTGCTACTAAATGGTCCTCCTTTCTGGCTAAGGAAAACATGACTGCTCAAACAGTAGAATTTCATCTCTAAATAATTTTATCAAGCCAAAACTTCAAATATATGTTCACCACAACACTATTGAAACTCAGAAATGAGTAAAAAATATGTTAATATACAAGAACGATATCTTCCATCTTTACAACTATTAATGTCAATTCAGGATTAAAAAGATGAATACAACATTCCCCTCACCCTTCCCAAAAAAAAAAAGGGAATGACAAAGAAATCCTTGGGAAAAAGGTAAGAGGGGCTTAAAAAGTAATAGAAACAAAGAACATCAACCGCAAGCTAGATGAATCAAAGAGACCAATAATATCATGGCACAAGATATTTACAAGACCGGCTAACAGGAAAATGCAACAGTTAAAATAAGTTAGCAGTATAGCATCACAGTAATGTGAGGAAAAAAATGATAAATTTCTTACAACATAGCTAACCTCTTCAATGCTTTTTATGCATAAAACATTACAATCTGTATGAACTGAAGGAATGGCTGCCGAGACCAGCATTAATCCCCACACCCTAACACCTCTTAGAGGCTCTAATACTCAGCGTCTCTTTTTAAGAGAACTATTATGCATCTCAAGCAAATTATCGAGGTTTGTCAATAACCAATCTTCCTCCTTCTGGACATATAACCTTTCATGTATCGGGTCCACATATATGCTTACATTACCATAACCATATATCTGGTGACCATCATGCATCCTGCCAGGTTTTGGCTTAAAGAGCAAGCCGTGATGTTGTGCATGGGCCTCAACAACTTCTTTCAAAGTCATCTCAACTGGACCACCACCAAAACCATCCATTTGTGTTGTGCTACCCATGCCAGCTGCAGTTTGATATTGAGCATGCATTGCAGCTCTTTGCTGGGCCTCAAACTGCCTCTGCTCCTGCGCCCTAATATAACTGAGGTTCTCCCTCAAACCAGGTTGGACCACTTCCATACCTTCAATAGCCCGATCGATCATGTTGAGTCCAAGAGTAAACTGGTACCGAATATTTTCATGTGCCTGAAGCTCCTGTGGAAGGAGTCCCTTCCAACCAATGTACCATTTGTGAACCTCTTGTAAGTTAGGATTTGAACAGAGCCAGTGATACAAAACCTGCAGCCACTTTGAAAAGAAAAACCTCTCCATCAAGTCAACCATGAGATGAATTGGAATAGCAGAAGCCCATGACATAACCCAATAGAACTGATCAAGCTTCTGACTAGCCGGGTTTATTTGGAACTCTTGCAATGCAACCTGCAACTTAGGAACTATAAATCTGCGCATGAGATTTTCCCAACTGGCTGAATCAAACACCGTTTTCCACGGTGATAAGATAGTGTAGGCAGATGCGTCACTTGGGTGCCAAGCATCAAGAACCATACTTAACTTCATACGTATCATCTGGTACAAACCCTCCAATTTCGGTCCCAACAGTGGCAACCATGGGTGTACCCAAAAATGTATGGGAACAGTTTCCCGACGAGGGTCCCATGAGTCCACAGCACTAGATAATTTTGGCATAACTATGTTATCCAAGATGCTCTGAACAACTGCTGCAGGTAACAAATTTTCCCAAGACTCCAAAAAGTAAGCATGGGATCAGGGTCCCTAGGCTCCCAAGTATTAATCCCAGATATTCTTACAGCAGGCAAAACTACTTCTGATACTAACTGTGCATAAGGTGTGGCTTCATCCCATATATCACTACTTTCCTCACCTTGCAGCACATTCTTCCATAATTCTACTACTTCCAATCCATGCATTGGATTTCTAAGAGAATCCCAACCCTGAAATACTCTAATAAACAAAGGTAAGGCATATGAACAAGCAATGCAAGACAAGTTGCAAAGCTTATAATCTTCTGCAAATTTCCTCTTTATGTCTGAGAAATACTTTGCTAGCGAATCCAAGGTCAGAGTTCCTGAAGACTTCTGTTCCTCGATGTGGCTCAGAACACGCATGATCTCCTCCACGTTATCCAATTGCTTCTTCTGGCGTGCAGCCTCTGTTTCCAACCTCTCCTTCTCCTGCTTCAAGCTCATAGCAGTCTCCCTTTCGTTCCTCAAATCTCTATCGATCTTCTGTATATCAAGCTCTGCCAAATCTACAATCAACCTCACGTTATGCTGAAGCTCTGGCATCGGAACATCATTCTCCTTTGCCTTCTCTTCTGCATTCAGATTCTCCAAATTTGTCAACACCCTCACCTGCGGCCCCCGCATATCAATCACCTTCTGAAAGACCCCACAACCTGGTTCTTCATTCTTTGCCAATAGCTCATCTGCTGTTATATACTTCTCCTGCTTCTTCTTCTTCTTGCCCTTCATCCATAACCTCTCCTTTGTTCTCCCCACTGTCTGACTCTGGCTTTGGCTCACAGTATCCTTCTCCTCTAATTGAGGCAACTTAGCAGATGTTTCTTTAAAATCATTGAACCCCATCCCCATATTTTTTGGCCTCATCTTTGCTTCAATTGGGGCTACAATTCCTTGCTGATTTCTCCCCAATCCACCTCCCTTATAACCCATTTTCTCCAACAACTTCAACCCAATTCCTTTGGTATGCTTCTCAAACTCCCCAACATCCCCAGCTTTCACTTCCTTGCTTTTCCCACCTCCTTTTGCTTTCTTCTCCATCATTCTCTCCCGCTCTCTTCTTTCTGCCGCCTCCTTTATCCTCCTCCCAAACTCCGTTGGCAAAAAGTTATCCTCAGCCTCGTCATGACCATCATCCTCAAAACCCTCACTCTTTTTAACCCCATTACGGTCAACAAACCCTGAATTAAACCCTAACCCTGTGTTAAACCCAGACCCTAATCCAGGTGTGTTATCATCATCAGCAGCAAACATATCATCACCGTTCTGGTCTTTCAAATTCTTATCGATTTCTTGGTTCGGCATCACAGTACCTGCAAACAAGCAACTTACGTGAACACGAGTCTAACCAACAAATATTAGCATTGCTACTTTTGCTATTGAATTGTCAGCCAGACATCTCTACCTTACCTGTGGAAACAAAATTGACGGGCTTAGTGAGGTCAGCTTTTCGGCCTTCTTTTCTTCTCTTTCTCGAGGATGAATCATCATCATCAGAGTCATAATCCGCAAAGATACCATAAAGAACTTCGTCTTTGGACTGTTTGCGTTTTTCTCTCTGTTTCCTGAAGTAGAACTCTCCATCTATAAATTGGCCGTCTTCGAAATCATTCTCCATTCCAAATCTTTCTCTCTCCTGGTAATCATCCATCTTTTTTTTCTTTTATGACTCCTGCAATATGTTATACCAAATCTATCAATAATCCTCTCTAAGTGACTACGGAATATAAATATTTTGGATCTGAAAAAACAAAAACAGGAATGAATAATTGCTTACCTATGGAATAATCTCCAGGGTTTTGCTCCAAATCCAAATTCCTAGCTTAAGCTGGAAGATTGAAGCAAAAAACACCAAACCCTAACGACCGATACTGTAGTACAAAATCTTGTACGTGGAATTTTTTAAGATGATGATGGGAAATCAGGAAAGCGGTTGAAAAGATGGGCCTTGAAGGGCTTTCTTAAGCCCGAGATTGTAAAGAACCTATGACTTGCCGGCGGCAGCTTAAGTCCATTCTAACACGGTAAATTTGCATTAACATGTGCCAAAGAGTGGATACTTATAAATTGCGCTCTTCAAATAAGAATAGTCGCCTATTGGTTAGAGGTTTCATATGTACCAGCTACGCTGCGAGTTTCGCAAAATAAAATCATTTTAAAAATTATTATTTAATTAATTTTTTATTTAAAAAATAAAATTCACTTTTATTTATGGATTGAATTTTAAATAAAAACTTGTAATAATTCAAACTGAAATATTACTCATGAATTAAAAAAAAACTTTAAAAATACATTGTTTATAATATTGTATCCCAAAAATAAATTTATAATTAATAGACAGAACTTGTATAAAAATTAACAAACAAAAAATAAATAAATTTTTATTCTCATTTAATGCCAATAAAAAGATTAATTTTTGAAGTTATCCACTCAAAGCTTTGGATCGATAATTTTTATAATTTTTTCATTTAATTATTTATTTAATTATTATTATTTTTGTATTTTTTTCATAATTTCTTGTTAAAAGAACATTATTTATTCCTCTTTATTTATTGATTCTTAAATAAAACCTTATAATTATTTAAACTAAAATATTAATTAAGAATCCAAAAACACATACTTTAAAATATTTTTTTATAAGAATGTGTCTAAAAAATAAAGTTACAATTAATGTAGAGACGTGTATAAAAATTACCTAATAAAAAAATTAAATTTTATTCTTATTTAATGTTGATGGAAAGATTATTTTTTTGAAAGCATATGCATGCATTTGATATATATATATAATTTTAGCATAAAAAACTGTATTTGAACAATTGGTTGATTCCTTTAAGAAAATTAATTATTTTATTTCAAATAAATTGGTTCTATAATGTAAAATATTCATAGTAAATAATTTGTATTATATGCGAAGATGTATAATTAATTTTTAATAAAAACGATAATTCTAAAATATCATGTCGGAGAACCATCTCAATTTAAAAACTTATGTTGCTAGATGAGATTTTAAAATATAATTTACACTATTTTTCAACACTTGTTATATATATGTGTGTGTGTGTGTGTGATCGGAAAAGTAAAAAATAGACTTACTGTATTTTTTTATTAAAAAAATCTTCAAATTAATTTACATTTCAGTATAAAAATAAAATTCTTCCTTTTAAAAGTAGGAAAAATCATGAAAAACAGATGTCTGCGTTCCAATTTTTTTTAGTCTAAGATTATTTGAACAAATATGGAAAAAAGAAGAAATAGTACCTGAAAAAAGAAATGGAGATATTTGGATTTGCAAGTGCCAACCAGGTGGGGGACCAGGCTGCTCTCCTGGAGGATGAAGTCGCACGCTTGGGCCAAGAGGATCGAGCCCGAGTGGGCTGGAGCAAAGAAAAAAAAATGTATGAATTTGGGCGACCTCTGTAATTTTGAGCTACTTTGATTTTGTCGAAAATATCGCCAAAAACTCGAGTTTTCTAATTCCAGCCTCCCTAAACCAAAATTAGCCTCATTTTTTATCTAAAAATACCTCAAAATCATAGAAATAACATATAAAAAAACTCATTTAGAACATCAAAATCTATTTTAATTCATAAAAAACACACAAAAAAATCAAACCAAAATAAAAAAAATCAAAAATTTTTGAATCTCAATCTACCTCTTCTAATCATTTCATCATTATTCACCACCGAGTGCTAGCTAAAGGCATAGGCCATTAAGGCCTATGCCTAGGGCCTCATAGAAAGGAGGGCCCCAATTAAAATTTTACCCTAAACCTACATCCTAGAAGAATGAGATAAATTAAAAGTCTACGACCTCCACTTTTATTTACGGAAAAGTTTCGGAAAAATATTTATGAGTGAAACAATTTTTAGGTCTCCAAATTTTTTTATTATATTCCTTTCTTTCTCCAACCAATTAGGGATCTCTTATAAAACCTTTTCTAATTAGCTTGACGGAAAAATCGAAAGTAATTTTTTAATTTATGCAAAGAAAATTTTATATATAAATCATATAATATTTTATTTTTTTCTAAAATTTCTTTTTATTTTCTCGGCTCTCCAGGTTTACTTGATTAGACGTGGCAAGCAAATATAATCGAGTGCCAAAGTTTCTTATTCTTTTTATAATTATATTTTAATTTTATTATTTGGATAAAATGTCTACTAGAAAGTATGAATCTGGATATGAAAAACGTAAGAAAAAAAGAAAGGTAGAAGAACTAATTCAATCCCAAAAAGGTGCACTTGGTAGATTTGTTACTAATATTAAATCTCAAATACTAGAAGAACAAGATAAAGATTTAAATGAAAATATAATTGAAAATTGTGAAGAAAATTTTGAAGATAACAATTCAAATTCACCAAAAAGTAATGAAGAACATGATGAAAATTTAGAAGATGATATTTCAATCAATAAAAGTGAAAATATTAATGATGAATATGCAACAATAATTAAAAATATTTACGATCCAAGCACAATAGAAAAATTTAGACTCAAAACTCGATTGATTTATTAGTTGAGAAATGTCCAATTAGAGAAATTTTAGATTTTCCAAGAGATAAAAAATTGTTTAAATCTTGAAAATTTTCTAAAGCACGATATGCTTTCCGATATTGATGGTTTATATTCATTTTCGAATTAAAAGTTTTAAAAGAAATTATAACTATGGAAATGAAAACACCACTTGCCATACTAAATTTTATAAAAAAGGTAAATTCTTTTCTAAATGCATGGATAACATATAGAATACTATTAACTATCCATGTTACCGTAGCTTCAACTGAAAGAGGTTTTTCAAAATTAAAATTAATAAAATCTTATTTACGTTCAACTATGTCATAAGAAAAATTAAGTAATTTGACTATAGTATCAATTGAAAAAGATTTGCTTTGTAAACTTGAATACAAAAATTTAATTAGAGATTTTGCATCTCGGAAAGCAAAAAGATCAATTTGAAATAATGTTTAATATTTATTTATTTTAAGAAAGAGTCTCTAAAATATTATTTTCCCTAGGGCCACATATATTATAAAGCCGGCCCTATTCACCACCACAAACGGATTTTACTTATTGAGCTAAACAAAATGCTCGGTAAGTTCGACCATCGAAGCGATTGTAGCCGGCCTTGCCATTCCTCTCTCTCCTCCAAGTATGCAAGACCAAAATGAAAGAAAAATAAAATTATGGACTAAAAAAAAGTTACAACATGAGGGACGAAAAAAAAATTGCTAAATTTGCATATAACTATCCAAAAACACAGGAAAAATAACGAAAAAACCATACCTAAATATTATACAAATTGCTACTCAATGAATAGTGAATTAAGGCATATAAATAGTCTAACAATAGTGAAATCCTCATGCCTTCTAGGTTTGTTTGTTTTTTTTTTTTTTTTAATGTGATTGGGTGGGGCTAACAAATATTTTACAAGATAATCGTCACTTTTAACTTTCTATCAATAGAATAGATGAGTTTTGAATTTTTTTAGTATATAGTTTTTTTCAAAACTATCAATCAATTTTTTTTGTCTAACTTTTATCAATTGTTTTGTTATCTAATGACGTGTCATCCGACTTAAAATATTAAATTATGATTTTGAGAATTTTTTTCTTTAAGGAAAACTTTTTCTCTCAAATTATTTTGTTATTTATTAAAAAATAAAAAAAAGGAAGTTTAAGAAGTTTTTATTTTATTTTATTTTATATATATAGTAGACACATCATCAAATAAAATATCAATCGACAGAAATTTGATGAAAGTATTTGCTTTATAGTTTTTTTTAAAAAATAAGTGTATTTTAGACTAAAGTACTTGTTGATAGTCTTGAAAAAAAAATACTAAAAAGAATTAAAATATTGAAAAAATAATAATTTTAGTATACTCATAGCGCAACTATCCCAATATTTTGCTGTTCAAGAGAGTCATGATGTTTGTAATGGATTGGGTGGCGACATGGATGAGCTTGGCAGAGCTGTTATGAACAAATTAGTTGTGTTATTTACAAAAACATGTCTTTAAATCCACATATTTTCGAATTTTGAAAACGAAATTATCTAATTTAAATGCCTATAAATTTATTCTTTCATTTAATGTTATTTGAAAAATATAATGACCGGTTTTTTTTTTTTTTTTTTTTTTTTGTCCGTGCCTAGTACAAGTGGTTGCCGAAAATGTCCTTTTCTTTTAAAATAAGGCAACAGAGTAATTGATTTTGATAACCAAATTGAGGAAATAATTATGTCTTATAGTACCCGTGACACAATTTTCCCTTATGTCATGTATAGAGGATGAAGGCATTGAAATGCATGGAAAACACTCTAGAATTGGCGTTGAATCTTGATCTTTGTATTAGATAAATATTAATGAAATTTAATAATTTTTTATGGGTTTTAGAAGAAGAAAGATAAAAATAAATAGTTCAAACTAGATTTTTACTCACGTTACGCTGCGGGTCGGATATAACATATAAAATTATTTTAAAAAATAATTTTAGTTATATGATATGTATTATATTTTTAATCTACTAAAATATATCAAATCAAAAGTAAAATCAAAATTTTTTTTTATTTTTGCGTTTAACTAATTATTCATTATGTTTTTTATTTTTTATTTTGTTTACTAAAAAAGACATGATTTATTCTTTCATATATGGAT